ACCTCCTGCTTGTCTCACACTTCAATGTTTAGTGGATTTTGGTCACATGACCAGCATTTGATGCAGTGCTGCTCAGTGTATGGCAAACTATGCACCTTGCATTACATTGTTTGATTCAGGTCTGTTTTTACAGGATACATAGCATCACCTTTTAAATTCTCGTAATGATTGTCAATGACAAGCTTTATATGAAATATAACCCAGAAAACCAGGGGAAGTGTGACTGTTTGAATTAATGTGAGCCCAGAGACCTGCTGTTTCTCCTCCCCTTGGCTGTATGCGGCTGCTGGTAGGGATGTTCACATTACAATTATTGTCCTCTGGGGGTTTGTCTGAGCATGGAGGAGTGGCACAGAATATGTTTATGATTATCAAGCGCTGCACGGGGGAATTTTAGTGAGATTCTGTTACCGCTTTGTAGAAGGGAAGAATAAATAGCAAATCTGCAAATGTACTACAGCGGTGGGTTTCTGTTGGTGAATTACGATAACCCTCAGGAACTGGCCCACCAGCAGATAAACATCTGTATCTGTAGCACAGCTCTAGTCTTTGTGTTAGATAGCTAGCACACTGTCGGAGCAGTTACATTTACCAGTAGGCAGTGTGAAAAGAAATAGTAGAGATCATTTGTTTTTCACAGAATGAAATAAGTGAGCTAAAGTTAAAGGACATAAATAGTCAAGACATTTAATAGAATGGGTCATAGAACAACTTATTATCCATCCCTCTGGGCCTTATTTGTAAATGCAGTGCAAAGAGAGAAGGTTTGCTTAAGGACATTTCTCGTGTCAGAAATGGACATTCAGAAAATAAAGCAAAGGTCTAATCTCTGAGTACGAGAACAGCTCTGAAAGAGGGAAAGAGAAATCCAAAGGGTTACAAAACCATTTATTCATGTCACTTGTTCCAACTTCACTTTGTTAAATCTGTGTTATTGCTATAAATGCAGTTCAAGATCTTAAAGTGTTCTTGTCCATTATACACTTTTAGGTTTGCTATTTTTCACACTAAATTCTCAAACTATCAATGACCTCCAAAGTTCCTGTAACAATCTAGCAGAATGATGTGCAATATGCCTCAAGGGACAAAAGTGTCACTGATTCATAAGAAAGAGCTGATTTCCTATGAAAATTGGTTCAGTCCTGCATATGGTTGGAGGCAGAAAGTAGGGGGAAATTAAAATTCAACTTCCCCCTGGTCAGTTATATACATTGCAAGTTAGTCATCAAACATTATTGCAATCCATTTTCTGCTTCTGTTATGTGGATGGTGACTAATTCATTGCTTTTTTTTTTTTGTTTAAATGTTCAAGCCGAATTGAACTCTGTTTAAATCCATTAAATACATTCCAGGTGCATAAAAACAAAAGATGTTAAAGTCTTCCAGTTCATTTTCCATCAAAAGCAGCGATAACATGTAGAGTAGAAAAGGGCAAACCCAGCAAGCTAGGGCAGAGCAGAACCCCTTGCTCTCTGTGGTGTCTCTGCAGAGGTCCAACATGCTCCCTGTTGAGTCAGTGCCAGAGTTCTCCAGTCAGCAGGAAGCTTGGCCTCAAGGTATGGAGTATGGGATCTTTGGCTCCAATAGCTATTCCAGTTGGATCTCAGATGTGGTATATGAGAATACATTTTTTTTTTTTGTGCAGCACTCCAAACAGTGATGGCTGTATATTGGCTCGTGTGTCCAGTAGAACGGCGAGCACTGACGAAAGTGCCACACATTGGTAGAGTCCAGAAATTATTAATAGTCACATTCAGTTAAACACAAGGTGCTTTGGGGGTTTAAATGGCCCCCATTTATCAGTGCTTGGTGAAGGTTGAAGAAGAGTAACAAATGTTCAACTTAATGAATGTGGACTGACTCCAAAAAGCAGTCTAAACCATCATCCTTTAACCATTTTTGGACTCTACACAATGGGGGGAATTTATCAAAACTGGAGCAGACAAAATCTGGAGCAAATTTGCACTGCAACCAATCAGCTTCTCTTTCTCATTTTTAAATCTTACCTGAGCAAACTGAAGAGATGCTGATTGGTTGCCATGGGCAACTGCTCCAGATTCTCTGCTCCAGTTTTGATAAATTCCCCCCAATGTGTCCTGGGCTTTCCTCACCGCACAAGCACTTTCAGGGCTTTAATAAAACAACAATGCACTCATTGCATCCCTTAAAACTATTTAAACTCTTTGCAAGTATTTCATCAAACATACAACAAGAGGTTCCGTTAACAAGCATTGCCTAGGATGCCATATTCCATGCGACAGTTTGACAGGTGAATCTTCCTGTGACAGCAGGAAAGAGGAGTGGTTGTCACTAGAACACAATAATGCAGACAGATAGAATAACCTGGCAGAGATTCTAACTCTTCCCCATTTTACTTGTCCAGATGCAATCTATTTTCCCACTGGGGGGATTTACCATCACTTAGGGGCATATTTTTAAGGCAGTGAATGTGACTTTCACCAAATGTTTACTGTTGGTGATTCGATCACTGCCAATTAAAACACATGCACCTGGAAGATTCACCTGCATTGTTACTGAATTTGCAATTCACTGCTTTATAAATATGCCACCTATTGTACGGATAGGAAGTAAAGGAAAATCTCTCCAATGGGAAAGAGACCTTTTAATTTAAACAAAAAATTGTCAGCTTGTCATAGTACATTAAAAGAGCAACAGCACACTAATGAAGTCATCCTTCTGCTATTTATTCCTGTAAGCACATGCATATGTTAGATTAGCTGAATAACTCAGAGGTCTGCCCTTTCCTCCTTCAGTCACAGGAGATATTAAAACAAAGTAAGGGTACTCACGCTATTTTCATGTAAAACACATTTGATGTTGTTTCCCCTCTTTGAAGAGTACCTAACCATGTACTTCTCAGGGGCCACTGATGATCATACCATAATGTGCAAGTATGCACAGTACATAGATCTCTTACCTGCTAGTATGCCCCTCTTCAGCGATGCTGCTGGCATCTGCTAATCATCTTCTTGGTCTGGTGTCTTTCAGGTCCACAATTTTGTAGTCACAGTGAATGTAATGCCCACCCATGGATGCTGGAGTTAGATCATCCCGACACATATACCCATTCTCGGAATGCTTGGAATAAGCCAGAAGTGTATACTGCGCATGAGCTGCAGGCAGTTTAAACTAAATTTTTTCAAAACTAACGGAAATCCTTTTTTTTGTCACAAGATACTTTGCATGTCCCTTCTGCCTAAAAACTCTGCTTCTTCTAGCATTCTTTTTTTTTATTAAGGGACATTAGTTCTGCTTGAAATGGTTATTTCAGTTTTTAAGAAAGCTGACGTTAGACTTTAAATACATATATAAACATTTCATCCTGTTCTCTTTAATCACTTGTGATTTTGGCAAGAAACGTGCCAGAGGTGAGACTAGACAGTCAGGTGTTCAATGATTGGATGCTGTTGTTCTTGCCAACCATTGATTGTCTGCTTGCTTTTGTAAGCTTGTCACGCTGGTGACTGGATAAATTAGGGGTGTTGCATAAAGTCACCAAGTTTTCGGTAAAGCTTGGAATTATTAAACTATTTTCTGGTAACTGCTGTACTGACTGTATTAAAGGTACCAACCCTCCTCATTAGTTTAAAGCGACACTGCAGGAAAATGGCTAAATGCACAGTTGAAATAGATAATACGGTAGCTGTTATATACTTATACTCAAAGGATTTGTAATTCTGCTCAGCCAACCTTGTGATCTAGGATCTCCTAGAAAACAGCTTGCCCTGGTCCTTGAATGCTCTCCATAACAACTCCAGGCTGGGCACAATCACCCCCAGCCCCGATACCTTTAAATGTATTTATTTATTTTTTACATAACGTTTTCTCAGCGGTCTTCCTCCTTCAGGTGGGCAAGCCTGCATGAGTCACATAATGACATGTAGCTAAGTATCTTCAAAGTGAACCTGTCATGACTGAAATATAGGTGCTGCTATCGCTATTTGCTTGGCTGTGCACTTCAGCACTTTGAGATTACTTACTTAGCACTAGCTTGTATACAGGTACAGCAACTAAGCTTATTGCAGCCATAACCATGACAGTCAAACAGCTAGCATTATCAGAAGGAATGGTCTGCAGTAGCAGCTTCCATATTTCTCTCCTTAAAAGCTGTTACTCATCATTAATGTCCCAAGCTGCTAAGGAAATGCATACAAATACTAGAAGAGCAGTAAGGGCCTTTTTTTAACCAAGATTTGGAATTACTTTTCAGTCACCAATCAGCATGAGACCAGCCCTGAAAATCGGAATCCAATTGGTGGCTATAGGAAAACATCTCCAGTACTTCCTAAAAACAGGTTGATGCATAAGGACCATTAATATAGCAACTGACAGCAATATATTAACAAGGGTTACTGCAAATGTGCAAAGTGTGGTGACAATCATGGCTCATGGGATTTAACTCTAGAGCAATAATAATTATTTGCAAGCCTCTAAACAGACATTTACAGAGTGAGATAATAATCTCCTACTGTTTCTGGTGTGTGAATGAGCACTGGTAGATCTTGGTGGTTTTCAAGTGTATGGCCTGGGCTCCTTACAGATAGAAGAACCCTGTTGGTAATTAAAAAGATTTCTTCTACTGCTGCAAGTCAACAGTGCTAAACACGGTGCCAGCTGGCAACTTGCAAGTTGTATATGATTGTTATTTAGAAGATAAGGCTGTGAAAGCTTGCTTCATTTGTATATAAATGGTGTATTGAACAGATAAGAACATCATGCATTGAATTAATTACATGCACAGTGTGGCATGCTGTTTCTAAGTTCTAGAGGTCACATGGTTTTTACTAAGAGCACATCGCTGGGCTTCGAGTGGATCTCTGTATGAAGGAAATGCTGATGAGATTTTTTGTAGAGTTCTGTATACTAATCCAATACATTGTTATTAGTACTAGTCTCCTCACTCAGACTGTTTATCTATCCATATTCATTGTAAGTTTAGGTTCCACATTTAACAGAATGCACACATCTTCTTTCTGCAGGAAGAGCTACAGCAACTGAAAAGCAAGTTGGAGAAGGTTGAGAAGGAAAGAAATGAATTAAGATTGAACAACGACCGCCTCGAGAGCAGGGTAATACTTTTTTCGTCATACTATTACCACTCGAGTTGGTTCTGATTATTTATTCTCACATTAGCACACCTGCTATGAAGCTTATTGCTGTATGTTTAGTTTTACAGTGTATTTCCACATTTGCAGCCAAATTGGAATAACACCCATTTTATATTTGTTACATGTTCCCATTCACATAGCATAACCTTAAAAAATTGCAGCTTACCGGTAACTTTTTTTTAGATTCTCTTTCTGCAAGCTCCAGAACTAAACACCCCTGCTTAGTTCTCGCTGTCTGTGGAAATGGGGGGAATTTTGTTTTAAATAACCCTGCCTGTACTTTGCTGGCAGATTTAATTATCACCTGTAAAGCAGCTGAGCAGGACTGTCGATCTTAACAAAGGGATAAAGACCTGAAAATTTATGTTAATGAACTTTTAAAAAACTGTCCCTTATTAGCTCACTGACATCTTTTCTAACCTCTAAAAGCTGCCTGTAGAGTCATATGTATAATCTGCTCCCAAGAAACAGCACTAAAGGTAAGAAACAAAATTGTTAAAATCATATTTAAGTATACTGTGTGAATGGGAACACATTAAAAAACTTAGAGGGGGGTTCTCAAATTTGGCTGCCAAAGTGGAAATACCCTTTAAGGCAGAGGTTGCCCTTAGCATTTCGGTTGTTTTTTTCTCTGTTCCCCCATAGGTATTTGGTCTTATTTTAGTGATGTGAGATTGTTTTCCTATAAAATGACAACATTTCATTTTCATACTTGTACATGAAATATGACTAGTGCTCTGTTTAGCAGGTAAGTAAAGGAGGTAGAATGAGGCTGATAAACGTGATAAATGCAGTATGTCCCCTGCTTTCATTTTATGAGTCTAAAATCTCAGCCAATTCCAGTTCTAATGCTAGACAGGTAATGTATGTGGACAGACTCAGAATAGGATTTTAAAATGGTGAATCACAAAAACTGGAGCATCAAGGTGAAGAGATCACTACATCAGCCTCACCTAACCCCTTTTCATTGAACTCCTGTACCCCAAAATCTGCTAATTGATTCATAATAACCTTGGTAAGATGTCACTGAGGGCAGGTATATGATTTCATATTTCAGTATTCCATTTCACTAATGAAGTAGGAATCCCCCTAATCAGGCAAGATCTAAAGGGATCAGTTGTGCAATTAAATTTTATATAACCATGCTCTAGTTGACTACCTGGAGACACTAACTGATCTGATCTTTTTGCATAACTGCGGCAGAAGAAAAAGTTCAGCAGATCCCCCTTGTGTCAGCTTATTCTATAGGGACATAAACCAGTTGACCCATCCTGGTTAGTCAACTCTTTCTGTAAGAATGCTTGGCCTTGAAAAGCCCAAAGATTGCATAGAGACACATGTTCCAGTCTGACTTTATCTGGCCAATTTAGGCAAAACAGATTTCACTGTTGTAGTGTGGAATTCAGTATTTTCTAATGCTAATATTGAACAGGTAAAACAGGAGATCCTGTAACCTCACTTTGGTTTCATTGTTTGAGTTCAGTTGAATTATCTGGTTATGGCAAAGTCATGCATTCATTTACTTTTTCTAGATCACAGAGCTGAATTCTGAGCTCACAGACGAAAGAAACACAGGAGAATCTGCCTCCCAGCTACTGGAGAGCGAGACTGGCGATAGACTGCGGGTGGAAAAAGACATGAAGGATCTGCAGGTAAAACTTCTTAGTATTCCATCCTCTCAATGCAGTTTGTGTGCGCTTGCAGGCAAGTCTCCCTCTTATCTCTTGGAATATGATCTAACAGATGCAAAAGGCTAACTTGCCGCCTTCTTTCCTACTTTATTTTTCTTCCTGTTGCCCTTCAGCGCACCTTATAAGGGCATTATCCCTGCAGCATGCATATGTGAGGATTGCTGGACCTGCATGGCACCTATGTCTCCTCATAATGTAATACAAACAAATGCTTATTATGTAGTAATGCTTGTTATCACTCTCTCATATGTTTACAGCTTACCACCTTTGCGGGCTGGCATTTGCTTATTCCATTACTGAGCTTAAATCATTACAAAAGGAATATGTATATAGACTTACTAGTGTTGTGTCCTGTGCAGAGGATCAGTGATAACACATGTCCCCACAGTAATACAAATTAGTCTCTCTGCTCCAATCAGAGGATCAGTCAGTACACCAAATAACCTTGTGCTGAAAACTGTACAAATAAAACGTCAATTGGCATTAACATTGCTGGCAAACAGGATGCTTAGTACAGAGGCACCAGCTGCTGCTGCAGAGCTATTCAATAAGGAAATGCAAAGATAAGTAGTGATATGCAAAGTGTAGTGATTCATGGCAGCCAGTGGGTTAAAACTAGAGCCATGGTGATGTGTGTCGGCTTCAGAAATTTTCAGAAATTCAGAAATTTTCAAGGTGACTTTGTGTCATCCATTTATCTAATACGTTGTCTGGAGTAACTCTATATGAGCAATTGTACATTGTTGGATAGTTACATTGTTAGCTGACTGGTTAAAATCTCCTCCTTTTTTATTTTCTTTCACCATCTGTGTCCCTTAACCAGTTGACATCTGCGGTGTTAAACCCCCTTCCCATCCAGGCCATTTTTCATTTTTCCCCTTTTTTATATGTGACTTTTATTTTATTTTACTTTTTTATATGTTACTTTTATTTTTTTTTTATCTATATTTTTTTTTGCACTTATTGTTATTGCTATTATATAGGGGGATAACAATCCCCTATGTAATAGCAAAGGCACACTGACAGGTCCTCTTTATGGAGACATTAGTGGTCTCTAGGACCCCTAATGTCACCTGTGGACCCCAAAAGAAGCTGATGAAGCAGATCTCTAGGACCCCTAATGTCACCTGTGGACCCCAAAAGAAGCTGATGAAGCAGATAGGTGAGGCTATAGCAGCCAGATGACTGACAGGTGAATGCGGAAGTGATGTAATACACATCACTTCTGCATTCACAGCCCAAGATGGCAACCCGCCAATGCTGCAGTGCCGGCCGTCCGTTTTTTTACTACGGGTGGACGGCAAGTGGTTAAAGAAAATCCTCGGGAACAAAATCTTATGAACCCTTGCAGTGGAGTTACCCCCCCACTGAAAGGGTTAACTGCTCGTTCTTGTCTAGGGGCTAAAATAAAAAAGTTCCCCTCACCTGAACCTCAGAGTCAGGCAGCTGTGACAGCGTTCCCTCCAACCTCTCTCATCCTACGCTGCAGCGATGGTATGTCTCGCAGCATCCTCACGTCCTATGCACTGTGTATAGAATGTGATTACTCAAGGATCCTTAGACCACTGCAGCAGAGGGGGAGAGATACTGGAAGCACTGGTCTAGCAACAAGCCAGCTCAGACGATCAGGTGAGTATAACTTTATTTTAGTCCCTAAATGAAAACGAGCAGTTAAAGGAGAACTATGGGGTCAGTGTTTTTCCCCATAGTTCTCCAAAGGGTAACGGGAGGACACAAACTAGCGTCCTCCCGTTACCCTAAGCTCAGTATCCCGCGAGCTACAGCTCGCGGTATACTGAGATGCCGCAGCCGGGCCGGATCACGACTCTTTTGACGGGATCCGCCCAGCTGCGTGAGTGACAGCTGGCTCTGCCTCTCTAGAGGCAGAGCCAGCTGGACCCATTGCAGTACAGGAGTAGCCCCACTGCAAAGGTTAATGCAATTTTTCCTGGAGTTGTTCTTTAAGGGAGCTTTGCCTTCACTTCCTGTCCTATAGACTTAACAGGAAATGAGAGGATATCTCTCCAAAGTGAGGTACATCTCTTCTTAATTGTCACTTGAACAAGTGTCCTCATTGGAAGATTTCTCTTCTATTCCTGTTCCAGTGATAACTCAAATTGGATTTGTCTTCACTTTCTGTCCCAGTGTTGATGCTCACTGGGACAAAAAAGAGGAGCTGAATCGCCCCAGTGGGACCACATGCAGCAATAAAAACATGACTTGGGTTTTACCTCCTCACCACTCTATTCCCCCTCCTCCCCCCCCAAAAAAAACGTTTTGGCTTTGGGTACACCTCAAGTAATGGATTTTCTCTAGTCATATGCAAGGTGAATGTTTCCATCAGTTCTTCCTCAGGTAGGAAGTGGAAGATAAAGTGGAGTGTCACAGGTCACATGATTATTCTTACAATTGTGGCTGTGGCTATGGTGCAAGTACTCACAATAGAAATATTATATATACAGATACCAATAAACCTTTTAGGACAGAGTAAATATGACCAATGCATTCTATACTCCAGATAATAATATTGGCTGAAAAAAAAATGCACCATGAAGATGAGAAAGGATACCTGTTTCTCTGTAAGAAAAGGCCACAAAGCATGAAATCACCTCTTTCCATTATTATAGGAATGACCCTGTGGTTGACAGTTTAACAATGCAAGACATCTAGACTTGACTCAGTGTAGATGTGTTGCAAGACGTTCAGAATACCCAAAATAAAGCTTGGAAATTCATCAGCAGCCAGTAACAAAGCTAGATTTGAATCAGGTACACAAAATGGCTGCCTTCACCTTGTATAAGATACAGGTACACTTTAAGTCTTGCTGCTGTTTCTAGAAACATTTCCACCAGTTTTTTAAAGCCTAATTACCTTTATGTATATAGGGATATAAGTATACATATGCAGCTTTTATGTCTGTTTGTTTACAAAACAGACAGATGGTTCTTCAAAGTTGATCCACACATTTGAAAGGCATCTTTCATCCCAAGTACATACCTTTTAGAGTGTACTTATGTACAGTTTGTTGTAGAAAGCTTCTGTCAGACCATCTGCTTCATAGCACAGATGGATCCCCTGCCTTTTGGCCACATTCTTACGAGATGCTCTGATGAAAAGAGGGTCTCGTAGGCCTGTGACGTATTGCTTGTTCAGCAGGAAGCAGCGTGGTGCTAATGCACTTCCACCAACTCTGGAGCTACGAGATTCCTCTTCCTGCTCACCTATCTTGTGTTTGTGTTGTCTGCTTTCCAGATCAACCTTGCCGAGGGTTCTAAGAATACTGATTATTTGTAACACTAAAATAGAGTGGAGGAGCTTGGCAGCGAGCTTTGTGGACCAAGTACCTCTTGTGATTGAGAACACTTGAGATTTGTTTTGTCTGCCAGTGCTAATGCAAGGAAAGTGTCCTTTCACATGTATGAATGTCTGGCAGTATGCAAAGGACAGGCAGCATCCATCCTTCCTACCAGGGCTAAGAGTAGAGCGTTTCCTTCTGTCAGTCGGCAGATTATTTTCAGGCTTTCTGGAAGATATGCTTGTATCCGAAGAGGGGAAAATGATCTCCCTTTGCTTTCAGGTCCATTGCATTAATGCCTGCCATTTGTTTCAGTAATGGTGACATAATTTCATTTCCATAATGATCTATTTACCATGTAGATTAAGAGGCTGGAATTATTATTTCTTATTTGCGCACAAGAGAGCGTTGGCACTGAAAAAATAAAGCAGCTTTAAAGTGCCACTATTCATAATTTGCATAATGTTAACAAACTAGTTTATGGAAAAGAGATATTAGCAACAGTCACGGAAAATAAGTGAAAGTTTGTAGAGATTACCTTCAAAGAAGATAATTTGTGTGTAGATAAACGAGTTTAAGCCACAAACATTTAAAGAAGAGCTCAAGCCAAAACTAACAAGATAAAAATGAATAGGTCATTTTTATCCAGCCAAAAGATAAAATAGAGCCAGCTATTGCTGCAATATTCAGCTTAAATCCAGAGATATCCCCGCAGCCCTGATTCTGTCGCTAGATGTCCTCAGTCTTTGTTTTCCTCTGTCTAAATATTAGTTGTGGAGTTTACAGAAATCTTCAAGGATGTAAAGCTCAGCGTTTCTCAACCTTTTTTTAGTCGCCACACCATATTTTAAAACTATGCAAAATCTCGAGGCACCCCAGTCTAAAATGTCATAGATTTTAAGGGGGCCCTGCTCACAAACACCCAAAAAGGTGGGTTTCCCCCTTTACATCAAAGTGCCACTTTCAAATCAAGATTCCCCCCTTCGCATCAGAGTCACACTTTGCGTCAGTAGCTCCTCTTCAGATCAGTAGCCTCCTTTCACATCAGGAGCCACACTTTCATACCAGGGTCCCCTTCTTTCACATCAGAGTTCTTCCTTTACTTCAGAAGCCTCCTTTTATATGAGTCTTCATATAATCCCATTCATCCCATCACAATCACACTACCACAACATTTTGAGGCACAACTGAAGAGGCCAGGAGGCACATCACTAGTGTGACACGACACCCTGGTTGAGAAAGGCTGTTAACGTTAACCAAACATAGCTCATGTTTGTATCCGAGTTTGAAATCGTGAATTAGTTGCTTTTATGTCATCTTTTTGTAATGTTGCCCACCTCCTGTAGCTGATCTTCACAAAGTTGACTTTTTAGGTAGGGCTTATTGGGCAGCAATGAGTGTTGCCTTAATAGGTAAAAGTCTGTGATGTAGGTGGCTGAAGAATAGTTCCTGAAAACTACACATACAACTGGGCAAAGTTTGGCACAACTCCCATAGATCACTCATAAGCTGCAGAGACAGATAGTGTAGCAATTCTTACCATATAATAATACTGTGTGGCATATGTGAAAACCTACAGTATACACCGACAGTATACCCATATTGGCCTGACTGCCCAGCTGAGATGGACACAGAACTGTATCATCTTGCATTCTCCAAATCAACCTCTTTTGGGTGGAATTAGTTTTAAATATCTCTCACTTTAGCTGTTCTGTAGTAGAGAGCCTTTTTTTAGGTAGATGTAAACCTTTTATAAGGTTGTGTTACATTTGTAGTTATATAAAATGTTTTTTTATTTGTTACCCTTCAGAGATAACTCTGTTCCATGTTTGATGTGATTGAATTTCATTGAAGCAATTTTATTTAGCTGTACCTCCATAAGTACATTGCCAGCACAGATGCATCTGGGTTCCCTTAAGGAGAAAATCTGTCATCAATATACAGGATTTGATATTTTCACCTGTTCAGCATTCTGATTCTATATCATGTTCCAGCATTGCTGCCGGGCACAATTGTTGTTCATTGTTTATAATACATGTGCACATTGCTTACTTCCTCTGTGTATTTTACTCTCATTTCTCTTTGAGCCCCAGAGCCTGGTCTTTTAAAATAATTTACTTGAAAGAATGGCTATGCTCCATGTTGTGTATTCTAACTATGCGTCTTCATGTCTAGGCTAAATATGATGCTCTCAAGAAGCAGATGGAATCCATGGAAGTAGAGGTAATGGAAGCTAGGCTGATCCGAGCCGCTGAACTGAACGGAGAGATGGATGACGATGACTCTGGTATGCTTACTTGATTTACAATGTTAATCCTGGAATGTATTTTACCTAATGTATTAAATGGATTCATTCATATTTCAAGACTTAATGCCCCTTTTAACACCATGGGAGTTTTTTTATCTGGTATTTGTACGGTAAGGTTTATGTGCAGGACGACTGCTTTATATTGTACCCCATAACTTGAGGAAACATGAGGACCAGCACGGCTTATGACTTTGAGTGCTTTGGGCAGCATTTTATGTCTCAATTCCAGGATAAGAGCTTCTTAGCAAATGTTAGTATTGAAGTGCTGGCTAGGGATTGTTCAGATCTGGAGAAGATGAATAAGACGGGTCAGTGTATCTGATATGACCATGCACTCTTCTCATTTAAATGTTGCAGCTATCTGTAAAAAGCATATTTCACTTTAGGAGGGGGCTGTTGGTTTCTAGGAGAAAATAATCCATCAGATTCATGCCATTTATATGTTATGACTTTACACATTGGCATTACTGTAGAATAACATTGCTGTAGAAATCCCACAGCTGCTGCCAAGCTAAGTGGGGACAAGTGAAGGAGAATGTTCTTGCTCTGACAAACATGTGCCACTATATTGTAAAGACTGGGTGAGCAGATACAATGGTGCAGCCAGCCTGTCATGAGATGCTGGGTAACTTACTTGAAAGGGTGTTGTGTGCTGGATGTCCTGCTTTTTGCAGAGTTCCCATCATTTATTAGAGTGTACCCATTAGTGAAGTGAAGCAAGGTAACCATCAACAATTTACACTTGGTATGAAAGGACATTACTCTCAGAAACATTGATTATGAAATGATACCATGGCATCTACTGCTTAAAGGAGAACTATGAGGTGAGTGATTTTCACTCAACCTCATAGTTCGAGCCGACGTGTGACAATGAGACTGTCACACGTCGGCTCAATAGATCGGGAAGTGAGCGAACACATACCGTCGCTCGCTCACTTCTCGATCCTGTCCCTGCAGAGAGCCGAGACTCACGGCTCACTCACGGCTCCATGCAGGGATTCCCCTGTCCGATCCTCCAGCACTGATTGGAGGAACGGATGGGGGAGGGGCGGGTACAGCTGGCTCTGCCTCTAGAGAAGCAGAGCCAGCTGGCCCTCACACAGCTGGGTGGATCTCAACAGTAATGTCGGGATCCGTCCCGGCTGCTGCGGTCTCAGTATACCGTGAGCTGTAGCTCGCGATATACTGAGCTTTGGGTCACGCGAGGACGCTAGTTTATGTCCTCCCGTGACCCATAGGAAAACCTATGAGGAAAAGCACTGACCCCATAGTTCTCAAAGTAGGTTCTGCAGGTCCTACCTGTATGATGGTTACAGAGAACACGTTCCCTTTCAGCACCTTTTCTTTGTTCTTACATGTCCCTTCATTTGGTCAAAACCATCAACTGGAAAGGCTATCTGTTTTACTGATAAATATAAATTTCTCTCCCGTTCATTGAAGGACACAGGGCAACAGATCGTAGATCCTGAATGGTAGGGTATATCGCCACCTGCAGGAGTAGGACGCTAGGCACATTACAAAAAGACAAGACAGCCTAGGGGCGGCCCCTGCTGGTGGCCCAACCCCTCACTTGCTGACAAGTCCCCAGTTTTTTGCCCAGTTTTTTGCCTAGCGTCACTGTTTGTTTGGAAGCCGCGGCTTCTTTACGCGAGACCGACTCCCTGTTCGTGCTCACGGAGGGTCCTCGTAAGGGTCGGGCCGCGTCGGCGGCTACCATCTCTAGGTGGATACGTGATGTTGTGACTCAGGCGTACGCCGTTAAGGGGCGTGAGCCTTCATTTCCTGTCACTGCCCATTTTACTGGGGCTTCCTGGGCTTTCCGCCATGGGGCCTCTGTTTCTCAGGTTTGTAAGGCCGCTACTTGGTCTTCTGTTAACACCTTTGTTAAGTTTTACAAGGTGGATGTTTTGGCATCGGCGGATGCTGGTTTGGGGCGCAAAGTGTTGCAGGCGGCTGTTTGAGGTGTCCTTTGGGTGTTTTGTTGTTGTTGCCCATCCCTCAGTGTGTACTGCTTGGTGACGTCCCTACCATTCAGGATCTACGATCTGTTGCCCTGTGTCCTTCAATGAACGGGAGAGAAAATAGGATTTTTGTACTCACCGTAAAATCCTTTTCTCTCCGTTCATTGAAGGACACAGGTCCCGCCCTCTATGTTGGGTGTGTACTCCTAACTGCTTGTTACTTACTGGAGACTTGTCAGCAAGTGAGGGGTTGGGCCACCAGCAGGGGCCGCCCCTAGGCTGTCTTGTCTTTTTGTTATGTGCCTAGCGTCCTACTCCTGCAGGTGGCGATATACCCTACCATTCAGGATCTACGATCTGTTGCCCTGTGTCCTTCAATGAACGGAGAGAAAAGGATTTTACGGTGAGTACAAAAATCCTATTTTTAGTCACAGAGCTCTCTAGCCTAGAAGCAGTTTTTTAACATCAGCAGCTGCTCCCAGCCACCACTAGAGGGAGCTGATGGGAAGACAGAAAGGAGCTTTGTATTGGGATGGCCACAGTAGGTGGTCAGACTTGGGAAGTGCAGAAATCGCACCTAAGAGATACAAGAAACTGTCTGGTTTATTACATTGATGACTTCCAGGGCCTGATTCACTAAACTGCAAAGTAACTCTAATACCGACATACTGCGTGAGATGTGTATATTAGACAGTTTTGGGTGGAATGGCCCCTTGAGTAGCCACACGTTGTTGTGCTTTCTATTGTTTATCTTTTACATTTGTATGTTATGTATAGGTGGGGAATGGCGTCTAAAATATGAGCGATCTCTGCGTGAAATTGACTTTACAAAGAAACGGATGCAGCAGGAGTTTGAAGACAAGCTGGAAGTTGAACAGCAGAGCAAGAGACAGCTGGAACGAAGGGTCAGTCGGATCACCTTGTAGCTACTTCCTACCAGTAGGGTTAACAGAAGTAAAGACAGAGCAGTTTCGATGGAGCTGTTCATTGGGATGCAGCAGAATCAAATGTCCAATTTGCTTTATAAAAAAAAGTGGTATAGTGGCTATAGAAGCTTGGATACTAAAGGTACCCATAGGCACTCTATATGTGTCAGCAATATTGTTATATGGATTGGTGACCTAGAAGTACTGAAGCCTGTAAATATTCATGACAGCCAAGCAGCTAGCATTTTCAAAATAAAAGCAGTAATGGTAGCACCTATGTTTCTCTCATGGCAGATTTACTTTGATCAGTGGTCATAGAGTGTGGCCTAAGAGTATTTTGGAAACCTCTGTAATTTTTTGGACGTTGCGATGAAAAATTAGCTATAGATAAGACAGTGAAAAGATAGTGATTTCTTTAACAAAGTTTAACACTCAGTTATAGGTTTATGCATTGTATAAAGCATCCACATTCAGGAGTGCCACTGCGTGTACAGGCTGTGACTTATCCAACTACATGCTCTCTTTTACCTTTAGCTGGTAGATTTGCAGGCCGATAATGAAGAGACGCAGAGAACGCTGCAGCAACTAAAGAAGAAATGTCAGCGGCTGACAGCTGAGCTGCAAGACACCAAGCTTCATCTAGAGGGTCACCAGGGGCGCAACCATGAGCTTGAGAAGAAACAGCGGAGGTTAGTGGCCTGATGAATTGCACATTGATCCAGTAACGCTTAAAGGGAATCGTTTCTGTTATTTATTTTTTAGAGATAAGCAAGTGAATGACTTGATCCTAATGAGAATGCTATTATCAGTGTGAGGTGATGGCTTAATAACTTTAATAGTCATAATTTTTTTTTTTTTTATGTATGCCTTCAGGGGAAGGTACAATTTCTCATACACATGCTGTGCTGTCTGTTTAGCAACACAGCACAGTACTGTAATTAATTGCTTCCATCACAATGAAAGTCTAAGTGGGGTTCTCACCCAGAATGATTCATTAGTAGCTTCGGTGAAGTGAACGTCTTCAAATAGATATCTAGAAGAAGCTGTTGCTGAGATTTTTTAAAGGTTCAGGCTTCAGGTATTCCAACCTCATCGTGGTTTTACAATTTAGGAAATCACAAATCTGGATCAACCATGCAGCCAGTGAAGTCTGAAATGTACGACTGGCCTTCTGCATGCTTGATCGGGGTAGTGACTCACTGAGTAGATAAACTGCTTAGGATAATAGCCCTGGAACCTTTAAAAACCAGTTTGGCAATGGAACTTCCTGTATTTCTGCTCTCATAGATGCACTTTAAGCTGTTAGATGGTGTGCAATACGCTATTCACTAGTGTGAAATCAAAGTTTAGTACTGCTTAGCACTTGTTTACTGGCCATGTTTGGTATTTCTCTTTGCTATTGCAGCAGATTGTTCGAATGCATTAGCTTTTTAGAAGTGTTGGTACCATTTCTTACTGTACAGAGAAAGCACAACAGGCCAAAGATCCCATCTGAAAAGACCCTCCATAAACTGAGAGCGGTGCAGGTTTAGGGAAAGTCATTCTTCATGGTAATGACTAGATACGGGTGAACATATTTACCACTTACCATATTTACAGGAGAAAGCCTAAATCAAAGACATCGTTATACTTAGTGATGTGTGTAACTTTCGAATGGTCTTTAAATATTACACCTATCTCTCAGGTTTGACTCTGAGCTGACACAGGCTCAGGAAGAGGCACAGAGGGAGAAGGTTGTAAAGGAGAAACTGAGCAGAGAAAAGGATATGCTCACCTCTGAGGTGTTCACCCTCCGACAACAGCTGGAGGTAAGTGCAACAAATGAAATTATTAGTCACCATGCTTTTGGTAAAGTCCATGTCTTAGGAAAAAATAGGCAGGCCAGCGCTGATGAGAAGCCAGAGGCTCAGGCTTCAACACTCACCTCCTCTCTGGTGCTGTCCCCCGCAGACTCCCAATTCTGTAATCCAGTACAAGTATTCTTTTCAGTTGAATAAAACTAACCATCATCTAAGTCACTTTCTGTGCACTCAGGCTGACATGGAAACACCTCCTGGGAGTATGATATCATGCCAGCCTAGACTGATAGTACTCCTGGGTAGAACGGTACTCACACTTCATTACGTACGCTCCACATTGTCTGGGACTAAGGACCGCAAATTGCAAAGAGAAGAGGGAAAGACCTGTGACATCACAAATTTGGGCTTCAGTGGTTAAAGAACGTTCGACTATACAAAATAATTTCTGTTACTTCTGTGACAGCTGTTTAGATAAATAAAACCTATAAAAGAAACTGTCACCAACCTAAAATTGCAGGTAAAAGCACAGGAAGATAAACGATTTGAAATGCTTACTTGCAGAGTTTTAGCTTTCCATTAATGATTCGTTATTCACTTGCAATGTTCCTTTTGAACCTCCTAGCAAATTTGACTGCTTCAGGAATAGTCATTTACCTAGCACAGCCCCCTCTCTGCTTGCATATCATAGCCCTCTCCTCTTCTGGGAGTGTCTATTGTATGTGCGGTCCCAGCTCCTCCGCCCCCTGTTACCGCCCTATAAAAATGTTTTCTGTGGAAAGGGAGTCTGCTGAGGCTGCCATCACATCCAAGATGGTGCGAAGCAGCAGTCTCAGGGCTTTTAGATTTCTACACAAGGGGGCTTTTACAGGTAAATAACATCCATAAACTACATTAGATACCCATATAATCTTCTGGGAAGATTGTTGAAAGTAATGGTCTCGCGACAGGGTCTAACTTTCACTAAGGAACTGATATCATTTTATGTAGTACACAAGCACTTTTGTAATTTTATGCAATTCAAATTTCCCTTTTCTATTAGCCTGCAGACACTGTAATTTACTGATGTTAAAAAAAGAAACAGTCCTGATCTGTTTTTCTGGCTTAGAGACTGATTACTGAAACCACGTGGTTACTGTGACAGCCAGGCAACTTTCATTTTCCAAAAGAGGGGTCATTCATCATGTTTTTGTTATGACAGGTTTACTTTAATATGTGTCTGATAGAAGCACAAAAAAACACTGTAAAAAAGGAGATTTGAAAACCATTGTTTTGTGTACCTTTTTATAGTTTTGTTTTGGAGTTCTCCTTAAAAAGTTCATATACCACTAAAGATCCCAATCATGCTAATTTATACAAATAGGCACCTTTAGATAGCAGACTTCTTCCCAGTAGAATTGGTTTTCTGCAGAAGTCCAAGAATTAGTGACCATTTGTTACTTTAAAAGGCTCTGGTTCATTTATAAACACTAGCACTGCATGGCATGCTTATCTCAGCGGGTTACCATTTTCTTCTCTCTTCCGCCAGCTTAAACGTCTTTAAAATCAATAAGCCAGTGCTTTCTTGTAATTTTGCCTTTTTTTCTCCCTACGTTGGTATTTGTTCTGTCTGAAATAGCCAATTTTTTTTCAATAGCCGTCATGATAATTCTTAGAGGATTTTTTGGATTTTTGTTCAGTATATTGTATTGTTTCTCTGTACCACTTGCTGTAGTTAAATAAAATATTAAATGTTTTGACCTTCTAGTATCTAATGCATATAATTTCTTCATCAGGAGAAAGACTCGGAGATCACAGTCTTGGCACTCAAGGTCGACCAGTTGGAGGCAGAACTTCAGGACCTCTCATCACAGGAGTCCAAGGATGAAGCTTCTCTATCAAAGGTCAAGAAACAACTGCGAGACTTAGAGGCCAAAGTTAAAGACCAAGAAGAAGAACTTGATGAACAGGCTGGAACCATTCAAATGCTGGAGCAGGTGAAGAATTTTGGATTTTATAGAGTCCAAAAGATATTTGAGTAGTACAAGCATAGTAGTATATTAATAAAAGCGTGAATGTGACATTTATCAAACATTCACTGCCAGTGCACCTTCCTGGTGCATGTGTTTTAAACAAATAATTTATTAATATGCAGTGCATGTCACATTCACTTCTTTATAAACCTTCCCTTAAAAATCCTTCCATCAAAAATATTAATTTCAGTTTTTTTGGGCCACAGCAATACCCAGTTGGATTCTTTATCTTTTTGGAAGTTCAGTGACTAGTGCTTTCTGCTTGAGTGTTCAGGGCTGCCTTCAATGGATTTTATGATAAGTCATATACCCCTTTATTAAACATTTTATATTTTGAAGGACTCAGTAGGAGACGAAGAGAGAGCAGAGAATGATAATGGTTAAATCTTTACACAGGGACTTTGATATATTTTTATACTTCTTTAAATTATAGGATGACATTATTTGCCTCGCACAGTAGAGCCTTCTTAAAATAGAAAGTATCTGCATGTCTCCACTCCCATAACCAATCCCTAGATAAATTGATTTATTCCATATTTTGAGATTGTGGGCAAAGCAGTGAAACACTTTCCTGTACGTCCCTGGGCCAACTATATCTGTGCTTTAAACCAGCAGTTCTGAATGCACTGATGGCCCCTGAATTTGTGATGAAATTCAGACATGTAAATACATTGTGATTTAGGAAGACATTACTGTGCTTCACACTTATTGAGTGGAGGGCTTTTTTGTTCCTTACCTTAACCTGTCAGGTTATACATTCCTATTATTTGCCTAGACACTATTGCCAATTATCTAGTGGTTACTATCACTCCTCTTAGACTTCTGATAACTTTTCTATAGGGACTGACACACCTCATATACAGGCACATTTTATCTTTTTACTGCCTATACATCTATGCTACAATGTTGCGAGTGTGAGCTGGCTCTTCAAGCAAATATAAACTAACATGGTTGCCTTCAGAAAACAATCACATTCACTATATGGCCAAAGGTTTGTGGATACCTGATCATCACTTCTAGATGGGCTTGTTGGACATCTTATTCCAAAACCAGTGGCATTCATTTTGATTGTCACTTCCCCTTTGTGGCTCTAACAGACTCAACTTTTCTTGGAAGGCTTTCCGCAGACTTTTGGAGTGTGCCTGCGGTAATTGGTATTCGTTCAGTCAAATGAGCATTTCCAAGGCTAGGTACTGATGTTAGATGAAAAGAACTGGCTTGCAGCTAGCGTTTCAATTCATACTTATGGTGTTCAATGGGGTTGAGGTCAGGGCTCTATGCAGGCCACCTAAGTTCCTCAACACAAAATTGGCCTTAATGGTGCTGGCTTTGTTCACAGGGACTGGATGCTGGAACAGAAAATTTACCTTTTCCCTAACTGTTTGCACATGGTTGGAAGTGCGCAAGTCTCTAAAATGTTTTTAAACACTTCACTGGAAACACTTGTACCCAGCTGTTTGGACTCGTGCCTACAGACTTTTGGCCATGTAGTAGGTGTATGTGTGTTCATACATAAAACCAACTTCAAAGGGTAATTGATCAAAACTTAGTGGCTACTGGAAAATTTTCAATTTTCTTCCCCCCTGGTTTTTATGAGCATGAGTCTGTCTGGGAAGTTAGGGTGCAGCCTATACTCCCTCGCTTATCATGAATTTCTAAGCTGCTGGAAAAACATTTTTGCGTTAATGCTAATAGGGTTGAACTGAAGTTTGCACTTTGTTTTCAATGTGTATTTACATTACAGAAGTAATGATGTATGCCTGGCACATTAGAAAGTAGTATAGCGCCATTCCCAGGGAATCAACTTTTACATTTGCGTGGCACTTTTTCTTATAATAGTCATTTTGTGTAAACAGACCGTCTGGATCATTGTGCTTGATGCTTTGAAGAAAATTACAGCTTACTGGGAGAGATGAGGGATTCAAATAAGTATTTAAATAGAGATATTGGGAAGGATTTTACTAAAGCAGGCAAAGTGCTGCATACCAATTAAATGCAGTATTAGTCACAGAATAAAATCATTCCATGAAGTGGAAAAAACACATGGTGTTAAATGGGCATTTCTGAGCATGTCATTCACTCTCAATGCTTTAATTCTCAAATTATGGATGATTTTATTCTGGACTGAGAAGTTATATTGGTAAAACTTTAAAAAATATCTTTTTCCTTAATTCAGTATTGGGTGGGCACTAGCAGGGTGGGCTTTTCCTACCACTTTCTATACCTTAGGAATCCCCAGTAGAAATATAGCATTATGTGCTCCTGTCCCCTGACGCAGGGATTGTCACACTATCACAACTGAACTGTCACATTTTTATTTAACATAATAATGAATCCTTTGTGAAAGAGTGACAACATCACTTGGCATTGTAATTACTGCTATAGTTGGGCAGACGTGAGAATTCTGATAGATGAAATCTTGCTGCAGATGTCCCATGGGGCTATATGAAACAAACAAGGACTTGCTTAGCCAGAAACCACACAGAAAAAGTTTTGGGTACTGTTGGCCCATGAAGATGGATTTAAGCCCAAAAGGACCCCATGAATTGTCTTTAGGGTCTTCGGACTGTCATCTTTGCAATCGGTTGTACTGACATCTCAACAAATTTGCCCATGTCCCAAATGTGCCCATGTATGACCTACTTTAGGTTGTCTGTATGCAAGCAAATGTCTCTAAATAATGAGAGGGAGTGATGAGAGACCAGCCTACAATGGCTGTAGTAGCCACATCATCTATCATCATCTATCTGAGCTCTGGAGCTTGTGCAGTGAAAAGATCAATATTTATTTTTTTTAAATGAAAAAGGGAAACAATCCTGAATTAGTTGCACAAATTTTCCATCATTATGGTGATAGTGAGCTTTTCTGACTCACGCATACTCCTCATCCCTGGCAAGGCTGTCTCTACATTGTCACAGCTGGTGCTCAAATCCTCTCTCTTGCAGGGGTTTGGTTTTGTCCTTTTAAAATTCAACATCAGCCAAATGGCTAAATACAAAGTTTTATACCTAATAAAGGTACAACTTTGCCTGCCAATAACTGTGTGACATGATGACCATAGTCTTATGATCCTTTCACCCCTGGCAGTTTAGGCAGATACATAACATATGGGCAGTAACACACTTCAGGTTCTTCTAGTCTTTATACTCTGGCCAATGCTCCTGCCTGTTTTGGATTGCTGGGGAGACATCTGCTTACTGTTGACTTCTACCTTATGCACTCTCTACTTTTAAAGGGGCCCTAAAGTTTAACAGAGCACAGGCCCATGGGTGGAACATTGTGTAATAGCAGGTCTTGAGGATAACAATGGAAAAATGGTATCCCCTGCACTTACTGGTCACAAGGTGCCTTGGCAGCTTTCTGCCTTCCATATACATTTTGGGAGGTTGATAAAATCAGGCTTTTTTTTCCTGATCTGTCCAGGCCTCTTGTTAACTTCACAGAAAACAAAGTTTTAAAAAAATGGATCTCAATCCTAATTTCATGTGACAACATCAGTGGGTCAACAGCTGCTAGCACAAAGGAGATGTTGTTTCATAAGGAGAAATGTTCCAGTATGGTTCCAATGTGGTCACAACACTACAGTAGTAGTGATAGAATAAATTTATTTATACCATCTAAATGTAAAACTGAAACATTTGGAGAATACATAAAACACAGGTAAGAATGCATTCCATATTTGCATAGAGTTGTACTTTAAGGTTATTTCAGTAAGAGGATTAACCCAACCTCTGGGCTAACATTAAAGTATGGACTTTAAATGTGCTTGTTGGAACCACAAATGATTCCTCAGAAATGAGGAGAAGCTGTAATCTTCTTGTATAAATCTTTCTTTCTGGCTGATGCACAGTTGTAGGAGGAGAGATGAGAAAGCTGCACAAACTGCTCAGTAAGTCTCAAATTCCTGGCTACTGCAACAGCCACCGTAGAGTAAAAAAGAATAAAAATCCCCACAATCGGTGAGAATTCATGTCCTTGTTCATCGGAAGAGCTGCCACCTCCCATTGCTGTTTTTCGGCCATTTCCTATATATCTTCCTCTTGGTAGCTGTAAAAGTTAAAGAAGTGCCATTAGCTGTCCGCACATCGAGGAGCAATTGCCAAGTCAGCGACTGGGCCAGAGAGATGAATGGTCATCAAGAGACTTGCTTGGCCTCCGTTCCTATACCCTCAGCACTTAGTGCTCTCTGCTCACTGCTTATATCATCTCTTTGTAGGAAATGTGGCTTGGGGCCTGTGGGATGACATTTTGCATGCACCGCTCAGGGCCTCTCACTCTACTTTAGTGCACACCGGGGTATTCTTTGTGGATATAGTCTTTTCTTTTTCATGGATCCTTCCATGCTTACAGAGTGATGACATAAAAATATATCTCTTGTGTGGATGATTGACTGATCAAGCTGGTAAGCTGAGCATGTAATGTCAGTGCAGGGAGGCCAAGCTTAGATTACAGAGACCTTTTGCGTTTGCTTGGCACCTTTCAGGCCTGTTCTATTAAGTTGTAAAGAAAGGATTAGTGTTCTGCAATGTACCCTCAAAAATACTTCATCTGTTATGGTTAAATGACAGGTGCTCTTTGGAATCTTAGTAGTTGCACAGTGGCTTAGTGTTTAGCACTCCTGCCTGCAGCACTGGAGTCCTCCATTCAAATCTTGGTCAGGACACTATCTCCATGGAGTTTGCATGTTGTTGAGTGGGTTTCCCCTGGCTTCTCTGGTTTCCTCCCACACTCCCAGTTTCCTCCCCGGCATGTCCGGATCACAGTTGGTTTAGGAAAGTCTATCCCACACTCGTACCTCTAATGGCTTAAGAGTAGTCAGGTGCACGGTAGGGCAGAATTTGATTTGCCAGCACTCTAAAATTTTTAGCCGATAGTTTACTTCAAAATGTAGAAACCATAGTTGTGACGCTCACCGGACTTGCAGATCCCCTTTATCAAGGTGTAATGTGAAGGAGAACATTGACAAGTGTGGCTAACCAGAAGTACATATCATTTGTCAGGGAAGATCATTCTCTTGTATGTATTTGAACTATGTGTTTAGCTGTTTCTACTTTAGGAAGAACTGTCACAATATAGAAAATTGGGGACATGTATATTTCCCCAATTTTCTATATATTTTATTTCTTTATCGTTTGTTAAAACGTAACATCATTTTGCACGTTGGACAGGTTTTTGCAGGATTTACACTTGAATTGTGTTTCCTGGGGTGCTTGTATGTATGTACCAATGCAAATATGGACAGCACCAGCATGATAATGGGTAAAACATAGAAGCGACCCTTTGTGGGTTCTGGCTGTGTACTGTTAATAACTAAAAGAATCTGAAGAGATTTTGCATGTATTAAAGAGTTTTTTGTTTTTTTTTTTAGTCCAAACTGCGTTTGGAGATGGAGATGGAAAGGCTCCGGCAGTCACACTCCAAGGAACTAGAGAACAAAGATGATGATGTGGAGGAGATTCGACAGTCTTGTCAGAAAAAGGTAATATTGCTTATCTGTATATTTGTAGAGAGTTATTTTATCAATATGTGAAATGTATCGCCCACAATTTCTATAAATGTTAGTTGTCGTGGCTGAAAAATAGGCCTAGTACTGCTGGAGCAGAACTTCAATTAAATAAATAATTGAGTTTTAGGTAGAAGGTGGCATAATAGCATATTCCTCTACATGTTCACTCCATAGACACAATGATCCAATATTCTTCACATTTTATATGTATTGTTTTTATTTAACATCTCGAACATCTAAAACTGCATATTGAAATGTTGGCAAAAGACTTATTAAAATGTCTAGAAAATGCATTGATTGTCCACATAGCGTACAATTTCTCTGCAGCTTCTATTGTGAACATTGTGGAAGGGCTTTTCTAAATGCCATCTGTTGTTCATAATTCCTAGCTTCCATAGTGGTCTATTAATTAGGATTGGGGTATGATGTCTACTGTCATGTCATTATACTTTTCCCTCCTGATATTCCCTCGATTTTTGTTTCTTTTAACAGCTGAAACAGATGGAAGTTCAATTAGAGGAGGAATATGAGGACAAACAGAAGGTACTAAGAGAGAAGAGAGATCTGGAGAGCAGATTAAATTCCGTTAGTGAACAGGTATGGTGAAGAAGAGGCAACAGAGCTGACCGTACAAGTTCTACCAAAAAGTCATGTGGTGGTAGGCCAGTACCTGGCTTTTTATACCCTAATTCATACTGTATCATCACCTTAGGCCAGCCATCGTGACTTTGAGACTGAGAAACGTCTGAGAAAAGATCTGAAGAGAACCAAAGCTCTACTTGCTGATGCTCAGATTATGCTCGACCACCTAAAGAACAATGCCCCCAGCAAGCGTGAGATTGCACAGCTAAGAAGTCAGGTATGTGCTTTCTCAATATATTGAAATTACAGATTTCAACTTTAGCACAATTTCCAGAAGTCTATCTGATGTCTGTGTTTGCAAGAAATCGTTTTGGTTTTTTTAAATGTGTAAATTTGTCTGTAGAAGGCATTGCCCCATATCTTGCACTAATGATGTCTGATAAACCTGTTTGGCTGTAATTCTATTGTAAACTGAGAGTCATAGGTGCCCACGAAGATATTATACAGTAAGATACAACTGGCATGGCTCCAGGAATTGTTTTAAATAAGGAATACAGCTTGATTTTAGGATTCAAAAGGCAGTGCGGTGTTAAAAACGGATATGCAAATACTTCCTCTTTAATTAACAAAGCAGGAGCATCACTCTCTGTAAAGACAATGTAAGAACAGTGAGAAAGGCTTATATATTCTGGAAGTGTGCGTTTTCCAGGTTGGTGTCATAGTGTAGATTGATTAATGTCTGTCCTGTCATGAAGCTCATTAATATAAACTGAGCACAAACCTTGAATGCTGCTTCTTCTATTCTTTGTGAGAATGCAAGCCTCTGATTTATGTCCACAATGTGCCCAACATGTGAATGCAACTGCACAGTGACTGAAGGGACTTGCATCCCTAACCTTGCCTTAAAGAGATCTGTCACAAACGTTAAAAAAACGAGGGTAAAAGGACAGAAAGATCAAGTATATGACATGCTTACTTACAGTGTTTATCCTCTCTAAATATGTTTTTTTTTAAAAATTAATTTGCATGTGCCTTTTGAACTTGCTTAAATATTTGCCTACTCCATTATAGGCAGTTCCTTAGCATACCCCCCTCCCTCCTTGTACATGATAGCCCTCTTCTTTTCTGGGTGTGGGTAATTGTTCTAGCCCAGGATCTCTGCCTCTTTGCTCCCCTCCCTACATATGCTCTTATGTAGTTGCTGGGGGAGGAGCGAATGGGAATATTATAGAGTGTCATATGAGTGACGGCTCTGAGTCTGCTGGGGCTGCTGACATCACATCCAACATGGTGGTGACAACCCATCTTTCCCCCCAGGTATAGGACCCCGTACATACTCGACCTTGAGAGGATTGGGTATCCATAAAGCCATGTACCTCTCGAAGAGCACGGAGTGGCCCTCCTTCCACGCCCTCCATACCCAACCAGAATATGGACCTCTCGACTTCTGGTCTGCCATGCGTCTAACCCACTTCCTCTCCACTATCCCTCTGGTGCACAATCATAAAAGACCACTCACTCCATTCGAACAACTCTGCACCCAAACTGACCCTACACAACATGTCCTCTCCTTCTGCTACACACAATTGATCGAACAGTCGGCCCAATGCGTCTATGGTTTCTCTCAACATGGGAGGAGGAACTTCAGATTGTAATACCAACAGAAGCCGTAACTAAACTATTGTCTCTTTCCTACCGTTCCACAATTAGCAACAGGTACCAAGAATCGGGCTACAAAATAGTGACTAGATGGTACCGCACGCCGCAAGCCCTCCACTCATTGTTCCCAGACTCACCAGACCGGTGATACCGGTGCCAACGGTCCTCAGCAGGCATGCTCCACATGTTCTGGTCATGCCCGGCCCTTGAGCAATTTTGGGATAAGGTGCACGCTCTTGCGCAAAAATTTACTGACGCTCCGGTTCCTCGAGACCCTGCCTTCTTCCTTTTACATCACAATAATATATAGTACCCGGCCCATGAGCAATTTTAGGATAAGGTGCACGCTCTCGCACAAAAATTTACTGACGCTCCGGTTCCTCGAGACCCTGCCTTCTTCCTTTTACATCACAATAATATATAGTTGCGTGTCTATTCCTGCTCCCTTACCAGACATATAGTCAATGCAGCCCGGGCTTGTATACCGGCCTTCTGGAAAAAAACAGAACCTACTCCTATTAGACAGGTTTTAGACCACATCCACGATATCTACCTTATGGAAGACCTCACAAGCTCAATTAACCACAAATATACCTTGTTCTTTAATACATGGCATCCTTGGATGGAATTCATGCACTCGCCAGAATATCTCACCCTCGGAGAGTAACCGAGATCATGATAGACATGGGGGGCACTAACATACCATACTCTGATCTAACACTTTCCCCCCTTCCCTCTTGAAGTTTCTTTGCTTCCCCTCACTCTTTCACACAGACCCCAGGTATTACTGATAACCATTAACAAATCACTTGGCCTCTTCCTTACCCTACTATCCCCAATATTTACCCAACAGACCCTACACATAAGTTGGTATTATATATATACGTATGCTCTCAACTATATTACCGCTCGCATACAACCAGCGGAGGGCCATGTCGGCCGTCTCTTCATCACCTTTTCTCCGAAATCGATAGAGAGCACTTACCAATAAGGCACGGACCAGTTAATCACATTAGACGCTCCAATTGATAGCGCGGCTGGCATAAACACCCCACTACCCATCCTCAGTCCCACCACACGAGCCAGAAAGCCGCCTCCCTTTTTTTCTTGCCCACCCTCAGGTGCCTGTATGGCTAAACAATTAGATGTCTGTTGCTTGACAGTTTTGAAGTGACCGTGTTGGTTTTTACTTGCAAAGATTGTATCACGTATACCTTTTTCCTTTCCCTGCACTGTCCTATGTACGGTGTAAACTTTAAAAAATTGAAAAAAATTAAGAATTTATAAAAAAACATTAAATGCTCATATACTCTTTTGGGCAGATTTTTCTTTTTAATTCATTGTTTGGAAACGGGCACGCCTTGAGTTGTAACTCTACTAAATAGCAGTCAGTGGAAAGGAAGAGAAGAGTGTTGCTCCCTTGCATAATTCAACTCTGTTAGCTAAAAATGTGTCAACTAAGCACTTTAGGCTGGGTTCACACCTTGGCGTATCGAATATGCGCGTTTGTTGCGCTATTCGCTGGCTATTTGGCTGTATCCCAATGGAAACGCACGACAAAAACGCCCCAAAGAAGCTCCTGTACTTCTTTGGGCGTTTTGTAGCACGCCTGTAATACGCCCGGGTGTGAACCATACCCATAGGAAATAATGGGATTTCGGTGTTTGAGCATTTTGCAGAGCGTAGGAACGCGCTACAAAACGCCCAGGTGTGAACCGGGCCTTAGAGTTCCCTTGGTCTGCATCTGTTCACTACAGTACATCAGATACTGCCAATCAGTTTCCATTACAATAAGATCAGCAGGTGTATAATCCTGAAAGTGCTCTCTATGGGAATAATGGCACGAAGGTTGCATCTTGTTAGTTTAGGCTGGGCTCATATGAATGGGGTATTTTGTGCGAATTTGCTAGTATAATCCCCAACGTTTGCCAGCCATTAACTGCTAGCGATCACTACACATATAGTTGCATGTAGTAGTAATTGATTATACAAATTTGGGGCACATACATGCTACACTCTACTGTTCACTACGTGTAGCAGTCCACCACTAATTGCTAGTGATTGATCGTTGGCGATTTCATTAGCATGATTATACGCCCATGTGCACCTAGCCCCTGAGAAACCCTCCTTTTGTTGTTTTTAGCAGTAGACATAAAGTGGATTAAAAAAGGTAGCTGTACATTAGAGTGCACCGTGACTTGCTCCACAGTGCCGAAATCCATATGTCTCCAACTCCAAAGCTGCTCAACACAAGAGCTGCTATCTCACTATAGAAATAACAGATGCACTTTGAGGTAACATATTGTATGAGAATGTTATCTATAACAGTGATAGTGACAGCTTGACAGAGGTTTACATTTTACATGCCTCGAGTTCACATTTTAAAATGTTCTGCTCAATCGTTCTTTGAAGGTGTAGAAACAGGAAGCAGTATGGAATTCCCAGGAGGCTGTTTCATAATGAAGTAGAATGTGTCCCCAGTTCCATGATGTGTGGCTATCCCAGAATATCTGCTCTCTCCTCCTCCCATCACACCATAAATTCAGTATTTGCTGAAATGTTATTTACTTCTGGGGAAATATTTTTACCATGCAAGGCTTGCTCTGCTATAAATCTGGCTTCAAGTATGTTCTTTCATACAAACCAGATAGATGGTATAGAAGCACAACAGCAGCACACATTTATTTTACAGGAATATCATCAGGAGACTAATGAAGCATCTTATTAGAAATTCTTCCTGATATTATACCACTCCTGAGCTATCAGCGACTGATGGGCCTTCATAGGAGTTTATTATTTGTTTCTATCCAGACTATTTGTGGTTTCCCTGTAATACCATTGGGGACCATTGCTGACAAAAAAAAAAAAAACTAAGAGAAACTCTAGTGGAGATGTTACATACAGCAACTAATTCAGTGTTAGCTTTCACTGATTACTCTGGAAAATGTTTGACTGCTATAAGCAGAACCTCCTCTTTTATGTCTTATTTTTCTGTTAATCTTTCCATTATAAACTGTATGAGTGAGCTATCCATTTCTAGTTTAGGAGCAGGTGGTCAAGCCTTGAACAGATTGGCAGCCTTGTTCTATAAAGCAGTGCCAAGTGCAACAATAATGTGAAAAATACAGTAATTTATAGTAACCTAACCTGTTTGCAGTTTTGTCAAAGATGAATTCTGATTGGTTGTGAAGGATTATTGCGGTTTGCATGCAACCCTTTGGTTATTAAACTGACCAGTTGGTGTTGCATGCATTTGGCCAAAAGTGACAGATGTATGGGGTAAAGACGTAGGAGTTGTGTTGGTTCAGCAGTGACTGATTATGTGAACCAAGGATAGTAGTTCAACATCTATACAGTGACCATTCCCAGCTGTGCTGACTTGTTCCAGCGCTGAAGTAAACTCAGTCTGCTTTTCGGATTGAACCTCCTTTGTACAGTGGCCCAAGGGACAATTTACCCTTTGTAAGCCCTGCCTTTATATGAACAGGCGAATTGATTTTGATCAATAAATGGTCTGATTATCTGTAGATGCCACCATTGTCGATCTCCTGCCAAACATACTAGTTGGCTATTTGTTCCTCAACTTAATTCTTATGAGTTGATGGCCTGCAATAAACACGGAACCAATGAAGTCAAAGCAAAATTAGAACTCCTGATCTCTATCCTTGTTTCAGGACAGAGCCTTGGAAAATTTTCAAGCCAGTGGATCACCATGACAGCCTGGCAATTAACATTTCTCTAGCACCCATTGAGGCACACAGCCAAAGACCCATGGGTTTATAGTGCCACCTACAGGAGGAGGACGCTACGAGCAAGAATTAGCAACCTATGAAAATTGCTTCTAGTGGCTTAACTCTACAACTGCTCAATTTTTTTTTCTTGGTGTCCACAGAGGAAGGACATCTCTCACCCAGCTCTGTCGGCTTAAGACTTTTCCTTCAGGATCTTTAATCAAGTGCTAAATGGAAGACTGGCTAGATACTTTAGATCCTTGTAGTCTCCTCAGTCCAGCCATCAAGCACATATCTGTCCTTGATGGTATAGAGCAGAATTCACTGTAACTATGGAGGGATTTGTTTATTGGATGATGCAGGCTTTTTGATGACTGCTTATAGGGCACATATGAAGCACCCCCCTTCCCTTTTCTTTCATCTGTCTGTTTCCTACAGTGGATTTGGTTGGGGAAGTTCCAGACAGCCCAAACCCAGGTCTGGTGGTGGTCTCAGATGAGGAATTCTTACACTTCCCAAGTCAGGACCAGGAATTGGTGATCTCTTCCCCCACATTTTCTGAAGGAGAAGTCAGCAGTGGTAGACTGCATATTTCCAAATCTTTACTTTTTCCTTAAAGTTTACCAACAGCTGTGTAGTGTGAGGGATTACATTCTCTGTTTGTTTTATATCCAGTCAGGAAGCTTTCACATTACATGGCTGCTGGTCATTTTAAAGCTGGTCTTACACATTACAATCTTATTGTACAATCTCTGTACGATCTTCTTTTTTTTTTTTTAGATTTACCAGTAACTACATGACGACCTAAATAAAAATGAATTCAGATTGTGTCCAGTCTGGCAAGCAATCAATAAAGGAGGTTGTACAGTCATATTATAATATGTAACCATTTTTACACCGCTCAGCAAGAACTAGATAAAATCAAGCAGTACTACACTTTTGGACTTCACTTTTAAAAAACGTTCTCCTCTCCTTGATGCTGGCAATGATAATTAAATAAATGATTATTTATAGATACAACCGTTTCAGAGATCTATAGTTCAGAAACAATAATCCAACACAACAAAGAATAAAACAAAAACCTTCTGTGTTAAAATTGGGTTTTCCTCCAGGACCAATTGTACCTTGTAGCTGCACATGATCATTTATAAATCAAAGTGCTCACTTACTGCGGTCAATTTTAAAAGATCAGATTATTTTGTTAAAATTATACTTCTACTGAATAATAGTAGCTTTGTGTGAGGACCACAAGATGTGCCACCAGATGAGTATAACTAGGGTTTCTGACACTATGAATTGGTAAGGGTGCGTAGGTATTGTATCCCCCATCCCACCTTACTTGAGGAGATATCTTTGTGTTTGTCTCCAGCCTAATGCATCTTAATCTGGAAAATAATTCCTCTCTGTTGGACACCTGTATGTTAGGCATAAACAGAAAGATCTCTTTGGATGGCTCTTTATCTCAGTGGGTAAATATAGTAGTTATGTCCTGCTGTTTTTTTTCCTGAAAGCTTTCAAAGCTGTGAAAAAAGCTATTGCATGTTTACATTTTTAGTCCTAAAGAGTTAGCGGCTGCTAGTAAGTACTTGTGAATGTTATAGCTGCTAGCAGACATCTATTAGAAGCTGTTGTGCGTGTCCATTAGTTGCACACAAAGAAAAGCTCAAAGTTTTCTGATGTTGGCTTAAAAACATTGAAATTATGCCTAGTGCAATAAGAACTTTTGCCAGTGTGTTAGACAGTAGGGCCACTGCTGGTAAATGTATTTTCACAGTGTTTCTGCTTCTTTCATATGTTTTATTTACAGCTGGAGGAGTCTGAATTTACCAGTGCCGCAGCAGTAAAAGCTCGTAAGTCTATGGAAGCAGAAATTGAGGATCTTCATCTTCAGATTGATGATATTTCTAAAGCTAAGACAGCGGTAAGATTCATGGTGATATACACCAACTATTTCTCCATTTTGTCTGTTTTTGATCTGCTGCTTCAATTTCTGTTTCCTGTCCCAGCATATGAAGGTCAAGCTCATATTCTTTTATGTCCAGCGATGAGCTTCTGGACCTGCCTGAGAAAAGTACTATGCTTTATGCCACTTTTCTCTGTGTGCCACCTGTACCCATTCCAGCATTCCTGCTATGTGTTATATGCTTCTGTACATGTTACATCTTCCTGCATTCTCTGCTTCTTACACTTTCTGGTTATATTCGCCTCGTTTCTCTCTCTGCAGCTAGTTGATGCTCCCATCCATCATATTTCTGCAGCACATTTCCTGCTGTATTTTATCTGTGACATCCTTTCGTGCTCCCCACCTGTTCATTGTAAGATGAGCGGCAGCACATCCAATTTCCTAGCATAGTCACTTATAGATAAATTGACAGGTAATTATGCTAAACTATAATACATCAATATTGTGTATAGACAATTATAAAATCGGTATGTGTTATCCCAAATTTTAGATAAGATTACATATTTGTGTGTTTTATAGAAACACTGCACATAAGTACACAATATCAATATAGTAAAAACAGTGAAGCGCCACGGACTGTCAGTTCTTAATAGGACTTGCTTTTAGGCATACTGCAGGATGCTGCCCCAAAGAAGCCGGGAAAGCTGGAAATCTAGGAAATAAGCACAAAGAGGGGCGCCTTTGCTGGTGCAGATCACTTTTATTTCAATAAACATAAATAGAAAACCGAATCATACTCACAAACATGAGTGTCACAAAGTCATGAGGTGAGGACTGACAAGCAGTGAGATGTCCACTAGGTGATACCAGTGTAGTGGTGACGTTAACGCGTTTCCGGGGCACGCCCCCTTCATCAGAACAGATGAAGGAAACGCGTTAACGTCACCACTACACTGGTATCACCTAGTGGACATCTCACTGCTTGTCAGTCCTCACCTCATGACTTTGTGACACTCATGTTTGTGAGTATGATTCGGTTTTCTATTTATGTTTATTGAAATAAAAGTGATCTGCACCAGCAAAGGCGCCCCTCTTTGTGCTTATTTCCTACAATATCAATATATGCTGGCAAGAAGTAAAATAAAATCATGATACATGCTTTAATTATGTTCCAGAACACCTTGTAAAAAAATTAAAAAAAAAGAATAGGAGCATAAGTGTAAGCTGAATATTTACACTTGGATGTGCTAGCTTTTGTATTTTATGTCATTCACTTCTGCTTACTACTCTAAACTCATCTTAAAGAGTATGTCAGGGCAAGTTTAAAAAAAACAAAAACATATTTACTACATCAATACATGCACATGTCTCTATTTTATTCTTTTAAAGCCTAAACCACATTTCATGTTACACTCATATTTGGGGTGTAACATGAAGCATGGTCGCATACACCATCCCTAAAACACAAACTGCCCCCCTTTACCTGAATCAGGGAGTACATTTTTAACCAGAAGTCTGTTTTTTTTTTTAAATTTAGCGTGGCTGTACTTGGCTTAATCCACCCAGTCATGTTGTCCAAGTCTGGGATCACAAACCAGGAATCCATTTATTTCCATCCGCCACCGTAGTATTTGGACTCTGCAGAGTGTGCTGCCAATTCCTTCTCTCACTGTTCTGCAGTCCAGCCGCACTTCCTTCAGAACCATACTAGCAAGTCCGTACCTTTTGTATGCATCTGAGGCTGGGGGAAAATATAGAAAAACCCCAGTGCTCTGAAGGCTTCATTCCAAAAAGTTGGAATGCACATGATAATTGGATCAGTGTTGTTGCATTTGCTCCTTTTTGCAAAACATGGGCAAAAGATGAACTGAGCCTTTAAAAATGCTGTGAGTACTAATTTCCTGTTGTGCTTTTGCTGCACTTGAATCCCAACCAGCCTGTTGTCAACCCTGTCTGCTGGACTATAGAACCCCATCTGTCACCCAACACAAGTGCATCCATTGATTTCTTTCCCAGCAAAACAGTATTGCTGCATTGACTCCCAAGAGCCTGCCCACACATGGTGTGCAGAAAAAGGATTCTTGGTAGGTGTAGTTTTGGTGGTTCCACAAAAAGCAAAACCAGCGCTAGATAGGAACCTCCTTCAGCCACAAATTGAATCTTGTGTTCCAGGTAGGCCGCCCCGTTACAGATGAGGGATTACACTGTGTAAAACATAAAAACATGCTTTTTATCCGCCTATTTTGTGAGTACCATTTATCACTTTTAATTTTTCTAAACAAATAAAAGGATTATTTGCACCAGGAAAGAGCACCCAGTGTTTATTTTTGTAGTTTTGGTGGTGTGCCTACTTTAATAGGAACTGAGCTCCCAGCAGTTGTCCTTACAGGAATTTTACAAGATTGATGATCTCCCCTGGAGTAATAAAAGCTGTTTCCTGTTACAGAAGTGGGGTAAAAGGAAAAAAAAATATTGTTGGAACATACTCTAAAAGGGGAGAGGGAAGTTTGGGGAAAATGTAATTAATGCCCGGACATACACTTTAACTGTATCACATACTTCTCCTTTATGCCCACTCCTTCTTTCCATGTATCTCTTTTGTGCTGCATGTTGTCTATTTGAGTCCCTTACAATATATCTAACTTATTCATGCCATGCATATAATAAAATAGCCAGCAGCGTGAAGAATAAAGCGATAGAAAAAAAGTATCACAGCAGCATTCTGCATGATCAAAATTCTGATTATTACAAAGTTTCATTTGCCATTTACATAAAATTAAAGCATATTGAATAGAGTACATGTGAAATATGGTTTTAAAAGGCTGTAAAGAACGAAGACCTTTTAAAGGTGTCAATTCAAAGTAATAGGATTGAATAATGCTCTTCAAGTGACATTAAACCCTCAGATTTTTTCACATAAAACAATACTGTAATGTGTGCCTTACTGTAATCCATGGTTGTTTCCCTTCTCTTTGCTGCTCTTCCTTTTAAATCCTCATGTCTTCTCATGCTTGGGGAGAACTTCCCTTTTCAGCTCAGGGCCTCTTCCTGTAGTGCTGGCTCAGGTTACAAGCCTATGCAAACCAACACACAGACACTGTATATCCATTCCTAAACAAGGCAGTCTGCTGCAAAACAGAAGTTCTGCCCAGCATGAGAACAGATACAAATTTAAAAGGAAGAGCAGCAAAGAGAAGGGAAACTACCATGGATTACAGTAAGGCGCACATTACAGTATTGTTTTATGTTAAAAAATCTGAGGGTTTAATGTCACTTTAAGGCATTCCTGAAATCCTTTCTTGAAGCATCTTATTAAAACTGCTTGTGTTGCTCATGCAAAGCAATCATATTCTTCTTTTTGTTCCCTAACTCCAGTATAAAAGAATGAAATGACAAATTTGATTGGCTGTGCCATAAAAAAAGTTCATAATTCACACATTATTGATTGCAACCCTCATGGCAGCACTAAGCTTCACATAGTCTGTTTTTTCCTTAACCCCTCTGTTGCTGGTTACACTTGCTATGCTCAATATTATCCTGCTATGAAAGTGAAATGCTAGTGGGGTAAGGCAGCCTTGGAATGACATTTTCATTTATAGTGAGCGTAATAAATTTCACTCTTTAGCTGTGTCCGGTTTTCTTCCCCCAGTAGTAATAAGATAGATGACAGCCAGGCCGAGCCGGGGAAGTCGTTTTGCTTTTCGAATGATGTGCTAATAGATTCATTAACTTTCTGAAGCCTGCATTATTCTCTTTATTAACAGCACCACCCCTCCCAAATCCAACTCCCTCTCTTCTCCTTCCAACTGTAATGCACCACAAAATTTCAGGAAAAACCTACAGAAATGTGTCTGGCTTTAGATTCAGGATGGTTATACTTCTGCAGAGGAGAGCAGTACAGGAGAGTTGGGAATTGACCATACTGCCAATAGCAACTGGGATCTGTCTTGATTTTCTCACTAGCACTAGAAAATGAGTCATCATCGATTTAATCAAAAAAATGATTGTCCAACTAATCGATTCTGAAAATAATCATAAGTTGCAGCCCTAAAAATGACACTTAAAATCTGGTTGCTTTGATTAATAAAAGCATAGTTCCTTTTCTGGTTTGTTAAATAACAGCCGTGTGGGATCTTGCTGCACCTGTATAGCCTACGAATTGATAGTATGGACAATCGAAGTATACCGAAGTATACCGAACATAAGATGTATAATGCGATCTGAGTATATCATCAATATACTTGGTAGTAATGACAGTGGTGCATGTAACGACTTATTGAACCGATTTTCTGGGATCAATTTTAAAGTGTTGCTCTGATGAGCAGTAGTGCTTTCACTTGACTCATTTATAGGCTTTTAGTTTAGTCACAATACGGTATGTTCTTGGAGATGCATGGCAAAAACACTGACACTCTAAGTATGAAAGTATATTTCCATACCTATATTATAACAGTATAGGAAAGGGGACATGTATGAAGTGTCATAGAGTAAAAATGCCTGTGTTGAGAGCATGGATTGTATAGCTGGCCAGAGTAGAAGAAGAAACTTTACCAGCGCTCAATTCAGGAATAAAAATAAAGTAGATCTATTTGTATCACATCACATGGGTCACAAATTGCTAATATTTTGGGACCTCTCAGGGTTTCTTCAAGGTGACATAGTGATGCCTATGCCACCTTGAGGAAGGCGACTCAGCGAGGATCCGAAACGTTGACATATATGAAGTGCTACAATTGAAATGTGACATGGTACACTGCAGGGCTCCATCTGCTGCTGTCACTACATGCCCCACCCTGCTAAACCGGTCATAATGCTATATGAAGTACAACCCAGCACTTTATTAATGTATAGCTGGCCAAACACAGTATAATATAATTTGTACAATCTCAATACAGTCTTCTTTAGATTTACCAAAGTTATATAGTAGAAGCCCTACCTAAGTAATCCAATTAATTTGTTTCTGATACATAGGCCCTCATGGCACACATTGAATGTGTACTATGGTATGTGTGGTTACATATGCTGTTCCATAGGAAGGGGTCTGTGCTTAGCCAGAGCCACTGATTGGCAGGTTTTGCCTGGCAATCACCCTTACACAGTGCACATGACACTGTTCAGGGATTGGGAGCTTGAGGGATCCAGAAAATGCTAATAGGGATGTATCACATAAATAGTACAGAGGGGTTAAAATGGTAGGCTTTAAGTATGTTTCTTTCATTTTGCTTCTTTTCATTTTGTATTCTGCAATAAACAGACTCTTAAGTTGGTATAAGCAACACAGTCCTTCCAGTCAGTTTTTGTAAAAAAAAAAAAAAAAGACGAGGGGGGAATTTTATTAATGTGTTTGAACTTTCATATGGTCGCATGGGATATATTTGACGCACTTTCTTTGTGCCAAATTGATGTTTCTAGTGTAATGTTCATAAATGAGATTAAATAGACTCCAGGAAAGAAGACTTGCAAACTCCAAGCAGGAAGATTAACTGTCGCTTCCTGAAGTGGTCATCGGGACTTAAGTTGCGATTGTTTTGTTAGGTGATGTGTCGGTTTCAGACAGCCGCAGGACAAGCGCAGATGTAAGCAGTTGTGAACTGTCGCAAAACACTTGCGAAAACTCACAATCAGGAAAATATCGCGCACACAGGGCAAAACAGGCACACACCTTAACAGGAGCTGCTAAACATATTTGCGTTTAAAAAAATAGTGATCAAAGAGGATAAAACAGTCGCAATTGCGTTAATAAATTCCCCCAAGGTGTCTTACAAAGGACCAAGAGCCTGATTGTGTGTGCAGAGTGAAAGTGGTCCTAACAGACAGCTATTTTTTTTTGGTAATGAAAGGCTGGCTTCCCCTCCATTTTTGATCAGAAGATTTTAATGTGCAGTAATTAATAGCAATGGCTGTTTGACTTCTACTGCTGTTGTCATTAATCTGTCAATTATCACCTGGATTATACTCCTGCTCATACCTGCAAATTCACTGAATCTCTTGGGGATGCATTAATAACTTGCAGTCATTGCTAACATTGCTTTGGCTCCAGCCAAACCTTCTTTCCCTTTTTAGTTTTGTATAGAATTAGCAAAGCAAATACTTACCTATTGGAGAGATTTCATCTTGCTTCCTGTCCCTGTGGCAAGAAATGAGGGGGGTGTTTGTCAGCAGGGCAGGAAGACAGAGAATTAAACTGAGAGAGGATCTAACCTTCCCCAATTTACTGAAAAAAATGTTTGTAGCTGTTTGTATCCCCATTAGATTTTCCAACAGAGACACAATCTGCCGTGAAACCGTTGAGTGGTTCTGTCTCTTCCCCTTTCTGTGCAAAATAGAAAATAAAATGACTTCAGTTGCAGTTAATCCTTGTGGAAGCCGAGTCTCCCACTTTGGGTTGGCTAGTTTTCATTAAATCCTTGAGGTAGAGTATTTTTTGTAACTGAGCACAGTCTTGCTGAAGATATCATTCTGCTCTGTTTTATTTCTAGTGTCACCTTTTCAGAGTGAACCATTCCATTCTACTTCCATTACTGGTACTAATGAGGTAGTTTATACTAATAAAACAGGTTCAATCTCTTTTTGAAATCTCAGAGAATTTAGAGTTGAGAGCATCATCTCAGGTCCAAGGATAACCACTTAATTCTCCAGTGTTTTATTGTGTGTTACAGCATACAAAAATACAAATTCTCAGTGAACATACTTGGCTATTTTAGTAAGGGACTATTTCATGCTGTTTGTTGAGTTCAATGCATGTCATTTTTTATATGTTTGAATGGCAGCTAGAGGAACAAGTTAGCCGCCTGCAGAGAGAGAAGAATGAGCTACAAAGTAGAATGGAGGAGGACCAGGAGGACATGAATGAGCTGATGAAGAAACAGAAGGCAGCCGTGGCTCAGGTAAGTTCTTTTTATATATCTGTGCTGTATTACAATATACTCCTTACAATGTCTGCTGATGTTGAATGTATTTATTGTGGTAAATTGTTAGGGACTAGCAGAACTTTTTAAGATCTCCCCCAAGCAATGAGCTGTAAATTAGCTGTTGTGGGATTGTAAGGAAAGGTAATAAAGTGTTAATTTGCTGAATGACTTGTCACCATTATAAACAATATGCTATGTGATTGTGATATATGAAAAATGATCACAAGGCTTAAAGTATTATTAAACCCTTCATGTGAAACAACATAAGTTACAGCTTGAACGTTTCTTGCTGTGTGCTTTTTTTTTTGCACCCTGTCATTTCTTTACATTCAGCCTTTCTAGAACCTCTCTTCCCCCATTACTGTCTAAAGAGTGGCTCCACTCCCTTGTAGGGTCCCCTTGAGCCACCCTTATCACATGCTTCAACCAGGACTTCAACCAGGTAAATTGTGCTCTCTGTGGAAGTTGAGGGATGCAGAGCATTTTAAAGGAGAACTATGAGGTGAGTGCTTTTCACAGGTCGGCTCAGTAGATCGGGAGGTGAGCGAACACATACCGGGTTCGCTCGCCTCTCGATCCTGTCACGGCTCTCTGCCGTGACAGGGGGAGGGGCTGGATTCCCCTCTCCCCGCTCCGATCTGCCAGCGCTGACTGGCGGAACGGACGGGGGAGGGGGCGGGTACAGCTGGCTCTGCCTCTAGATAGGCAGAGCCAGCTGTCACTCACGCAGCTGGGCGGATCCCGTCATCTAAGACGTGATCCGCTCCGGCGTCTCAGTATACCGCAAGCTGTAGTTTGCGGTATACTGAGCTTAGGGTAACGGGAGGACGCTAGTTTGTGTCCTCCCGTTACCCTAAGGAGAACTATGGGGAAAAACACTGACCCCATAGTTCTCCTTTAATTTTAAGTGAGAAAAATTATTTATGGAGACAGTTTCTGTGTTGCATCAAAATAGAAAAATGTATGTAGTGAAAAGGGTTTAATACTACTTTAAAACAAACATTTTGAGAATCAATGTATTTGGATGTAATCCAAATATTTAAAATGCAAATAAGGTAATTCTATTATCCCTGCAATGTACCAAGCCATATGCCAGACAGATAGCATGTCGAGTGAGATTTAACCAGCTTGGTGCCATGAGTTTAAATCCCACTGAAAATATTGTCTGTATGTATTTAGTATATTCTTATGTGTCTGCCTGGGTTCCTCTGGGTGCTCCAGTTTTCTCCCACAACCTAAAGACATACTGGTAGGTTAATTGGTTTCCTCCCAAAATTGCTTCTAGTTGTATAAGTGTACCAGGGAGATTATATTAAGAGCTGCTTTGTGGGTCAGGGACAAATGTGAATCGTTTTGTGTACTTTCTTACACACTTGTTGATATGTCAGTGACATAAATACTGGAAAGAAATAGATTGAATGAGAACATTTGGCAAATGGTTGTAAGGTGAGAATATTAGTTCATGTATATTCTAGATCCTATATAACCCTCTATATTTGACTGGCAGTTCAGCTTATGAATAACGTTTGTGTAGCCTTAGGCCAATGTTACACTAGGGATCCTGATGCTGCCAACAGCTCGCCAGTGACAGGATTGTTACAGGTTAGAGAAAATAGTCACCTGTTTCCATGTGTCGCTCCCTTTCTGGCTCTTTGGTGACTTACAGAACGTAAGCAGCATTTCAATCAGCAAAGGAGTGACGTCTCACTCATCCGAGGAAGTGACACATGGAAGCAGGTGAGTATTTTCTCTGCAGTTGGTATGAAATGGCCCTTATACTGAATGCTGATGTATGTTTGGGCCTATAATAGAATAAGTATTAGTGTATATCATGACGTTTTTACCTTTTAGCACTGTAATTCCGACACTGCTATTTGCTGCTCCAGTATTTTGTTTTTAGTTCAGTGGTTTCCCATTTTGTCTTGTTACTGCCATCCCTATAATTTTTTGTACTTGTTATTGTTTATCTTTCCCATCAGTAGAGAGTTCTGAGAGTGGTGTTCCTAAGAAAATAAAGTCCAGCATATTGCTGTGGACAAGCCATAGGTTACACCCTGCAATTCCCAGGGTGGCGTGTTACGCTCCGCGCTCTGCCTGTTTGAGCAGAAGACAGCTCACACAAAACTTTGCAGTCTGGAAACATCCAATTTAATTAAATGCACAACTTTAGCAATAGATTAACTGCTTGTAATGTAAATAAAGTGAATTGATTTTTGCAGTGGCCCAGTTAGCTGAGCATTGGAACCCAGGGAGTGAGCAGAGCTCAGTGCTCTGTTATATGACTGAATTGCAATAAATATTTATTTGTTTTTAGTAAAGAGGATTCTTTTTCTCACCAAGCAACCCCATGAAACCTGTCATTTTTGTTTCACAGTCCTCCCGAGACCTGGCACAGATCAATGACCTGCAGTCTCAACTGGAAGAAGCCAGTAAAGAGAGGCAAGAGATGCAAGAAAAGGTAAGGAAAACTTACCCTCCTTACCTGGGGTTTACTATAAACATTGTAGACATGTATGTACGTGGATACACTATGGTAAGTGGCTTATCAAATATAAGTGTACCTGTATTCCAGCAACCATGTGTGCTGAAGCATTAGTCTATAGGAGCTTATAAATTCACAAAAGCAATATAGCATGTGTCCTTGCTGATATACTGTATTCTCACTACACAGTCAGCTAAGCCACAAAATAACCGCATCCAACACAGGATGGTCACAGATACCCTAATATCAGATGTTTAGCTGTTAAATTGGAAAATTTTCTTATAAATAAGCCATAGGAATAGGTGGACTTAATTTCATATCTAGCAACATCAGACTTAAAAGACAGGGATATCTGTAATTTTGTAGGACCGTGTGTCTGTAATCCTAAACATGCAGTGACTATATCCTCTAAAAATGTAGTGCCACTCGCATATAAAAATGATAATCAGTATAGCAATTGGTACCTGGAGGTGCTGGAAGTTTAAAACTGAACTCCAGGCAGATGTAAAAGACGCAAGTTAAAGTAATTCTGTATTTATTAATACATCAGTAATGTATTTTTTAAATGCAAGCAGTGCAAGTACCTTGACTTGATTTGACTTGATATCAGCTTCTTACAATCCCCCATATATTAGAGTTCAGACTGGGAGAGGCAGCACAAAGAGCCAGTCAGTTGTGCTAACAAGCAGCTTTCTTATGGAAAGGGAGAGCAGAAGGATAGAAAGATGATCTCATCACTCTGCTGCTTTTCCTTTCACTGCCCAGTCACAGACTAAGGAGGACCAGGACCTCAGTTCAGCATTGCTTAACTGAAAAATCAGGTTCTACCAGAAAGAACTGTGCTGTGTGATAGAGCTGTATAATCTCAGAACTGGATGGCTAGAAATACAAATTCTTTATCAGGTAAAACAGCTCCCTTATGTATATTTCATTAGTGTATTTAGCTGTTTGCTGCAGTTCAGCTTCAAGGGGAAACTAATGGATTTGAGTCAGTTTTTTTATTTTAAGTGTATACCTTTTTAAACTAATAATTTTTTCATTTTTATTGTGGGCCCTCCTTACTATCTTGTCTTGAATTGTATTGTGATTGTAATATCTTCCTTACATTGTAAAGCGCTGCACAAACTGTTGGCGCTATATAAATCCTGTATAATAATAATTGTACTACTTGTATGAATTCTTTGTTTTCACATTCCTGAAGGCCAGTGTATTATCAGTCCAATGTATAGCATCATGTCATGGCTCTTTGCACTATATTACCCTCTCTATGTCTGAATGCCAAACCGTTTTGATCAGACACAGCTCCAGTACTACATCCTAAGAATGTTCAGAAGGGCATAGCAGCTTTATTTTTTCTTTAAGTGACGGAGTCATTTTATTTAATAAGTGCAAAGATTAATTGCATGCGATAACAGAGTCACTTTAAAATGCTAAATTTAGCACCCATAACCATATGCTCTAATTTTCAAACAGCATGCTCCAAGAAGGACCTTTAACCTCCCTGGCGGTATGATTTATCTCAGTATTTTTTTTTTAACTTTTGAATTTCTCGCCGGTTCCGCCCCCCAGCAAAGCTGGCGCTCGAAAGGAAGGAACCCGGAAGACGCACGAGTGTGGCTACCGCTTTTGGTACAGAAAATTTACCCCGCGAGCCACACTAGGGATTACCGCCAGGAAGGTTAAGGGCCCATTTATACAGCTGTGTTGCAGTAATGTGCGCCATGTGCATTGGTATGCCGTTGTGACATTTTACCCAACATATGGTAATGCACTACTGCATGTACCTGAAAATAGTATGCACCTTTTTGGTGCTTTAGGCAGCCCGTTCCAATGCTTTTAATGCACATATATTGAAACGGTGCCTTACATGTATAGCTTAGCATGTCGGTTTCTTAGTACCAGCTAAAAAGGCAATTGTTTCATGCTTCAGGATGTCAATATTTGTATAAATGACTTTGAGTTTTCTGTAGAAACCACAGAAGACTGTATACAGATTTAATATGCCTAATAACTCTACAGTTGTATAGAAAGCTTGGGAATAATTTGATAAAACTTGAAACACATAATTGCTTTGAAAATAGAACCTTTTTATCTTTTCAGAAGGACTTTTATCTGCTTTTTAACTTAATTACTACACAAGTCATAGCAAGATTGTGAATGCAGACAGAGGTCACAATTGACTGTATCTTTATTAATGCAATTAGAACACTTAAACACAGAGTGAATACAAATGGCGTGTAGTACATGTACTAAATGCCGTGTGTAGGCTTTCTCCTGTCATTACCTTACTGCGGTGTTTTAATGCATCTTCAGATGTCTCTTATGGGGATACAGTATTCTATAAAACTGTAGGAAAGGAAGAGCAGAGCAATTCCCAGTGCAGCAAATTGCGTTTCCATTTGCACCTGCGCTAGAAAAAAAAAATAACAGTTGGAATTATAAAAAGTTATGGCAGCAACTTTACATTTTTTTTTTTCTCGACTGCACAGAAGTCCTGTTAATGTGAAGTTGTCTCTTTATTCGGCATTCCAATTGTGTTTTTGCAGCTAGTTACAATGGAATGTACCTTAATGGAATGTACCTTCGACTATCAAGTAGTTACACTGCACCTGAAACAGCTTTAATTTTCAAGATGTATTCTTATAGCAACATACCTATAATGAGCTCTTGTGACGCCATTAGGAAGCCATTTTGTTTTCAGCATACAGAAGCCTTCGCATAAGATGCTTATGACGGCAGTTCATGGCATTTTAGACCTATGCTGGCAATTATTAGCCCACTTTGTTGGGGAAAACTATTCCCAGGATGGTAAGGCATCAAGATCACTTTAAAGCCTGCCCCCGCAGCATATTATATTCTCCCTTTCTCTTCCCTGCTGCTCCATTCACCACCTAAAGCAAAGGAGATGAAACCTTGTGTAACCTCTTAGTAAATCCCTGCAGTGCTTACCCAAGGTTTAGGACTCTACCCCCATCTGACATCACTGTGCCAATTGCATAATTTCTCCTCCTCAGTGTACTGGAGCTGAAGTGGGTAGAATTGCCAGCTCTGCTGACAAGTCTGCATTATGCAGCTTCATAGGTTGTAGTTAAAAGCATCATTAAGTTCTATTAAATTATTTAACAACACTGCAAAGGAAAGGTCCACATTTATTTTTGCCATTTTTGCTATGTGCTTGTTTAATCACAATTTCCATCCTCCTCACTGATTGCACCTACACATATTGTATACCGTTTTTTGCAAGGAGTGAAATACAATTTTAGTGTGGAACAATTTTAGAATGTGGTATGTTTGTCTCCTAACTTTTTAATAGCCTCCTCAGCACTATATTTTCTTATAATATTTTTTATTAAACTGATTTATTTTTTTCCTTTCTTTTTCCAAATGTTAATTTTTTTTTAAAAAAGTTAAATTTTTTTAATCAGGGGGCACTAAGAGGTTTTTTTTGATGCAAAGTATTCTGAGGAGATGCTATATTCTCCTCAGAGATACTTTGTATCACTTTTGTAATACACTGAACCGACGTGCAGCTCCACAACACTGCAAGCTGAGCTGTAAGCTGGCTCAGTGCCTGTCACAGCTCTGTGATCACAGTGATTACCTAACGCTGTGATCACAGTGCAGGGACACCTAATTTGTTGTTGAGGGTATCCCTCCGACTCTGAGGGACCCACCAACAGCATTAACTGAATGTGGAGGGCCCAGCACTCATTGTACCGCATCACTGGATTATTCTGTCACCGGTCTTTAGGGAATGTCAGTCTGGAAGGGGTTAAACATGGGAGGTTTGCACAGAGTAATCCCATGTGCAGGTGTAAAGGTGTATTTAAAAAAATATATAAATAACAGTGTCCTACTTTTTAAATAACCACAAAAAAGGATAAAGCGCACTCCTGTGGGCACACTACAATTAGGTGACTATTGTGTAAGGGTGTGCAGCAGCTCCTCGGTACAGGGAGAGGACCCTGTCTATTCAAAATTGCAGATATGGACAAAGCAGGACAGGAGCGCGACTACCAAAAGGACGTGGATAGGTATATGCAGTACAGATTGTAAATGGATCTTTGTATGTGAAAAATTCCGTGACACTGTTAATAGTGGACAAAGGGACTTACAGTTAGAGGCTCCCCCGTGATCTATATGCCGCCCTCCTTTGGAAGGTCCAGGATCGCAGGAGTGTCACCGGTGGTGTAGCAGGCTGATCAATTGGAGGTGCGGATCCGTATGGCCACCCACGGACTCGGCTGGCCAGGCCGAGCCGCGTCGGTCAAAGACGGAAGAATGGGGAGGAGCTACACGCGGCTAGGGCACGCCGTGCGTCGTTGGTCTGGATCGGTTGCGGTGTGGGCGGTGGAGGTCTCAGGTGGTGGTGGTCGGGTGTCTCCAGTGGCTACGCGTTTTTCGAGGAATCCCTCTTTATCAAGCCTAAAAGCTGCTGGAGATCACAGGAGATTTTACTGTTTTTAAATGAAACAGGGGGAGGAGTGTGGTTCCGTTGAGCCTGGTGATAGGCTGCCGCTAACATGAGGGGGGAGTGGATTAGCAGTCTGGGTCCGCCTTGAGTGCGAGCTGTCAGTGCTCGAACTGCTGTGGATATATGGCTTTAGATGACAAATCATTTTTATTTGGGGCTAACGTTTAATTGGAGGGGATCTGATCTATAAACCGTATGTAGCGCCAGAACAATACTATTTGATAAAATATTTATTAAATGTGTGTGAAAAACTTTAATTGATGTTAAAAGAATTGGGAATCGGTGCAGTGGTGAACTGCCCCTGGGTGGGTGAAGTCTAAAAACGAGTCCATGTGTGTGATCACATGGACACGTATGGATATAAAAGTACATGCCTACTCCCATAAGTGCATGCACCCATAAAATCCAATAACAAATTAAAAATGTATTAAAATAAGTGTGTACACATACATGTGTACATACATATATATGTGTGTGCACCCACGTGCAAATGGACCTAAACACACATGTGTATAGAAATGGTCTTGTTATAAAACGCCTACCAGACGGACATTTTTAAAACATCTCTGTATCTTGATAGCGCCCTGTAGGTGTGTATTGGGGACTACCCCTTGTTCGCTAAAACATCTGAAAAGAGGGAGTGACTATGAAGAATGTCTTTTTAAATAAACTCTCATGTTCCTCCTGGCTGTACGACCCCGCTGAATATGATGCTGAAAACCCCACCTCCTTAAACCCCAACAGGCAGAAAGCAAACTGGAATGCAGAGATTTTATATAAAAGCGGATCCTTTATGCTTATAAATAAAGTTCTTGCTTGATATCTTTAGCCAATTACCAATTGTAGCAACCCTGAAAGTAACCTGCTAATTGTTACTTTTTGTCAGTCACCATCCATTTTCAATTGACATTTTGACGAAACATAGAAGTTGATTGAAAAGAGCTAAGCAAACATTATCACGCTAATGCAAATTGTGACATCGACCCCTCAAGTTTCACTCTAATGAGGCATAGTATAATCTATGATAACACGTATTTCAGATGTCAGGGTGAGCCTTACAGGGTTCACGGGCGCTAGGCCCAAAACATTGATCCATAAATCTGTGCAGTCATATATTACACTGCATCATTAATTTAAAGAGTGCTGTGGTCACTGCCTCCTGTATTTTCAGTTGCGCCAGAGGAAAAATTACTCGGCTGGAAGAAATGATTCGCTGGGATGCAGAATTAATGTGTATGCTTCCAGGTGATGAGGAGCCACAGGCTGAAGATATGTTTTGCATAATATATTATTCTTGTACTGTTTGCCTAACTCTAATTTAAACCTAATGCTGAATTGTGTAGTACAGTGGTGGAGATGTGGTGCCTCTGGCAAAACCCCTGCAGGGTGGAATGGTCAGCATTTGACAAGCAATGTATGTGGTCTTTTATGCCTGCATGTCTTCCATGCTGGATCATCCATATTTCTCATAAGTGTCTGCTGCAAAACAAAGGCTTCAAGTACGCTTTAAACAATTGCCTAAGCTAGAATACAAATTGCTATACATATAAAAGCCAGTAAGAGTCATCTATAGAAAACAGTAGACAAATTAACTACAATGTATTGTTTTATGAGAACACCGTGCTTCAATGAAATTACCAAACAGGAAGCCAGCAAATATCGGACACATTCCTAAACCGTTGAAATGACAATATTAACTATTATTTCTCTTGATATAAAATGACTTTTAATGCTGGATCAACAATTGTTAAACATTGCCAATTTAAAGGACCAACTTAAAAGAGATTGTATGGTGTATTTTCAGTGAGATTGTACTTTAAGTTATTATTGCAGGGTTTATATTAATAATAAATCAATAAAATGTTAAGCAATTTTTGATATCTTTCACATTTCTAAATGACTTTTCCATTCTTGCACTTGTCATTGTTATGGTATTAAATGTAGAGATTTACTACTAGAGGAACACTCAAATTGCAATAACTCTGCCTTCCATTTTTATAGAAAATGTGTAAAGGTTCAGTACATATTTTATTAGGATGAAACCAAAAAACATTTATTTAAAACCTTTTACAGGTTTTTTTTTTTTCAATCAATTAAATATGAAATTTTGCTTTCTCCTTTTGAGCCAGCAGGTGGCTCTTAAAAGCACTATTTCACGCTTCCAAGCTTAACATTTGATGATTTTTTAAAAATATAAAATGACTTGTTTACACTCAGAGAAATGAAGCCTCAAAGTAGGCAGCATTTGTTTTGTTCACTTTATCTAAGCCATAGTGCTTTAGGAATCCTCTGTTGTGTATTAAAGGGTATCTAAAGCCAAAACATTTATTTTAGTTTTGAAAAAGTGGAGCCACCGCATCATGTTTTCATTTTTGCCTGGGTCCGCACTGCAGAGATTAAACCTCTATTTGTCTTGGTGACCATTGTCACTGGGAAATAAAATACTAAGAAATCCAATATAAAATATAGTTGTCACTGAAGCAGGATGTGAGGTGAAATGTTTCAATGTGCGTGTGTGTCCCATAAAAAAACAGTAACCCCCCACCCCCCTTCAGGGGGAAGGTAATTGTTTTCCCCCCCTGAATTTACACTATATGGCCAAGGGCTTGCAGACATCTGACCATCACACCTAGTGTATGGCCAAAAGTATGTGAACACTTCTTAAATTATTAAGTTTAGATGTTTCCAGTAAAGGGAACAGTTAATGCTACAGCATATAAAGACATTTCAGGCAATCGTGCCCTACCAACATTGTAGCAACCGTTTTGGGGTCCTTCTCTGTTCCAGCATGAACCTATCTGTGTGCACAAAGCCAGATCCATAAAGACATGGATTGATGAGTTTGATGTGGAAAAACTTACAGAGAACACTGAGCCCTGACCTCTGACCTGTTGAACAACGGGATTAACTGGAATGACAACCGCGAGCCAGGTCTTCTCATCCAACATCAGTACCTGATTTCACAATTGCTCTTTGGCTAAGTAGGCTTAAATTTCCACAGACATTTCAAAGTCTTCTGTAAAGCCTTCCCGGAAAAGTGGAGGCTGTTATATTAATGCAGATGTTTGTTGAAATGGGTTGTCCAACTTTTTTTTTACAGTTTTCAATTAGAGTGTTATTTGTACAAAATTACTGTTTAGCCTGTCCAGACTCTAAAATTCTAGACAAAACACGTCTATCCTGGACATATTTCATGTACTTAAACCGTTATTTCGCAGCTTTTCGCAGTTTATTCATATGTCTCATTTAGAAGGCGACATGGAGAAGAAATCACTCTATGACCTTTTCCCATCCTTCTAAGTTCCTGCTTGCCGTTCTTTCATTTAATACATTTGTCTTTGGTAATTAAGAGCTGTGTTAGTGAAACTAAGTAAATAAAGGGCATTAAGTAATTCCCAGTCAATATCTGGGGGAGGGCAGACACTTCTTCAGTGGTGGATTAATGTATGCTTGAAGAAAGAGTCAATATCTTATAGATTTTTCTTTTTGTCTTTTCGGTAGATCATTCCTTCCTATCTGAACCATTCCTTCTGAGTTCCATGTACATTTTTAATCCTTTGTTTTTCTCATCATGTTAAATTGATGATATATGAAAAGAGTGTCATTCAGCTCCTGTATGATCATGCTGAAGTTCTGTAATTGATTGAAAATCCCTTTAAGTACCCAAAGGACTAATTCACACCACTGCCTCAGTCCATGGTAACAAGCTGTGTATGTATGTTAACGCATTGGCATTCTTTCTAAATCACACCCCAATACACATTCACAATAATGTACCTGTGCTATATATTGCACTACCACATAGATGTGAATGCTTTGTGCATTTTGGGGTCCTTCTTTATTTCAGATATATAATGTTATAAGAATTAGAAGCTCTTTCAGATTTTAAAAGCAGAAGATTTCACAAATTTGAAAGCAGAAGACACGGTGTACTGGCGACAGTTTTCTAATGGATTACTGTAGCGCCATCCACTGGTTGTTTTAGTCCCCTACCTAAAGGGTATACCAGTCTCATTTAAAGGAGAACTATGAGGTGAGTGCTTTTCACTCACCTCATAGTTCTAGCTGACCTTTGACAATGAGACTGTCACAGGTCGGCTCAGTAGATCGGGAGGTGAGCGAACACATACCGGCGTTCGCTCACCTCTCGATCCTGTCACGGCTCTCTGCCGTGACAGGGGAGGGGCTGGATCCCTCCCTCCCCGCTCCGATCCGCCAGCGCTGACTGGCGGAACGGAAAGGGGAGGGTGCGGGTACAGCTGGCTCTGCCTCTAGTTAGGCAGAGCCAGCTGTCAGTCACGCAGGTGGGCGGATCCCGGCACAATTGTCTATACTGAGCCTAGGGTGACGGGAGGACGCTAGTTTGTGTCCTCCCGTTACCCTAAGGAGAACTATGGGGAAAAGACTTAACCCCATAGTTCACCTTTTAAAGCACACCCTCGATCCACTTACTGAACACGTTCGCCGTGCTCATCTGTTGCTCTGTCAGAGCCAACGTAAAATACCGGGTGTTTCTCGCTATAGGGGTGTATGAGACCTCTGCCATGATGCAGTGCTCGGGCCTGAGTGACCAATTGCCAGTCTCAAACACTGGCCCATTAGGGAAAGTGTGGCATAATGAATAGTTTCTCCCAGGCATGGTACTTACACGGGGGTTTAGAACTGCAGGGGAATGTAGAAAAGGGAGTATAAGCCCTGAATGGTCAAAGTCATGCACTAGTAACTGAACCCATAACTAGTAGTGTGCGCACATGTTCATACTGTTTATTCAATCAGCATCCAAGAAGTATTTTTTTATGTGTGGATTGTAATCTTATATGGGCAGAAATTTCACTTGTATTGTATTTTTATATGGTTAGCTATGCAATTATAGGTTCAATTTGTTTCACACCGCAGTATTGTAAAACTTTGTACAGTGCTAAGAGAAGTGGTGCAATAAAACTTTGTTCATCTTCTGTAATATTCTGTTAAAAAAAAAAAACTGATGAGGTTCATAGCACATTCTTGTCCATTATGTTCTCTGCCCAGTGCTCTGCATGTGACCAATAATGTCTCACCACATTACAAGAGATGACACACTCCTGTAAATAAGAATATTTGCATAATCGGATCAGAATCCATCCTGTTCAGTGTAGCTAATAAAGCAAAAAATACCGCAGTTCATTCTAGGACAATCGTCACGGGAGCCACTAAAGGCAATTTCTCTATTTATATTCGCTCTTCAAATATGGAACAATGCAAATACTCCTTTTAAATGTCATTCAGGGGGTTGTAAATGCCATGTAATGGCAGCATTTCTTTGCTTGTTTGGTAGTTTCAGTAACACATGTTTCTCATTGTACAGTTACAAGGCTTGCAGAGTCAGCTGGAGTTCCTGGAGCAGTCGATGGTGGATAAATCTGTAGTAAGCAGACAGGAGGCTAAAATCCGAGAACTAGAAACTCGGCTGGAATTTGAGAGAACACAAGTGAAACGCATGGAGGTGAGAAGCGACCCCGACCCCGTCCCTAAATGGTTTTAATTGCATTAATTGTCATGTTAGCATGCTTTGCATGGACCTGTCTCTCGGTTGATCCATGTTCTGATAACAAAATCAGATGTCCCAGTGTCCTGCGGTTGACTGCCTAGTCAAATAATACTGTCATTGCCCTGAATTACATATTTATTGTCCAGGCCATATCCAGTAGAGGTGCAGTGGCTGAATTCTAAACTTAGATCACATGCAGCACACATGCTAGTAAAGGGATCATGTGTAAATACTAGACCTTCAGTACTTTAATTTTCCCTATAAGATAGCAAATCTTCTTTTTTTTCCACCTTAAAAAAGGCACACCGAAAACTAAGATAATATATATATTTTTATTTTTACATGTGGCAGCCTTTTGAATCCAAATGGAGTACTCCATTCATAGTCTGATGCTGTTTTTCCTACAGAGTTTGGTTGGCCGGTTAAAAGAAAACACAGAGAAGCTGACAGAAGAGCGAGATCAGCGAGCTGCTGCAGAGATCCGAGAGAAGGAGCAAAATAAGAGGATACAGCGACAAATCAGAGACATGAAGGAGGAAACGGGAGAACTGGCCAAAAAAGAGGCAGAAGCCAGTCGCAAAAGACATGAACTGGTAATTATAGATGTTCTGTTACAGTATGCTTTCGTATAACTTTGATAGTTTGGGCTACATCTGATAAAAGTGGGCCTATAGCAAAGACACTGTTGTGGTCCTTGCTTTGTGGACCAGTGAATTGCCTCCTATCAATAGGAGGGGCAAGAGATACTAGTGTGGTACCGCAAGTTTCCACAGCGATGTCACATGCTGATGTTGAGCTATTATCAAAAATTAAAAAAAACTTTATTTAACACTTTCACTTCTCTATGCAATTTTTTGTATCTTGAACGTTCTACAGTGTTTTTCAGAATGTTTATTTCTATATTCTATAACATTTATTATATTTTACAGTACATCAGTTGAGTCCATACCAGTTAAAAACATATTTATATCCCAGCCTCATGTTACTTCCCTCCACACAAATGTTTGTGTGGAATTCATATTGGATGGAGCACAGCACAGGGCTTACAACAACCGTGGTTAATACATACTGCTTTGTTTAGTCTTTACAATCAACAGTAGTATATGTTTACATTGGAAAGTTTCATATATCTGTTTCTGCAGGAGATGGATCTGGAGAGCTTGGAAGCTGCAAATCAGAGTTTGCAGTCAGATCTGAAACTTGCCTTTAAGCGCATTGGAGATCTTCAAGCTGCCATTGAAGATGAGATGGAGAGCGATGATAATGAAGACCTCATTAACAGGTAAAGAACATTTTGATTCTGTTATGGTGGTCACAAACATTGCAGCTTCTTTAGTAATAGCAGAAATTCAGTCTAATATTGTATCAGCTGATTTGTTTCTCAAATTTCATTGTCAGCCATGTTGGAAACGTATTCAGCCATATTTTGACCACAGTACTGGACGTCGGTAGCCTTTTTACTAAATTCCATTACATTGTAGCAAACAGCAGAATTATCCCACTGGTGACTGGCTGTGGAGACACTAAGCGAGTCTTAAAAACATTGGGCTTCAGTTAAAAAAGTGAAGATTCGGGGAACATTGTCCCGAACAGCCTGTGTCCAACAAGATACAACCATGTTTTCCTTTTGCCGGGTTGTTGATGGGCCACATGGACTGGTCTGAACATTCATTTCTTCAGACACTTTAATAAATAAGTCCCGTTGCTGTTCCATTTTTCATGTTGCTTTTCTTCTTTCATCTGACATTCTCTCATGTTTTACTTTATTTCCATGTTTTCAGTCTACAGGACATGGTGACCAAGTATCATAAACGCAAGAATAAAAAGTGAGGACATGGTGCTGCTAAGTCATGTTTTTAAATTGCCCTTAACCTCAGCATGCATTAAGCAACAATAACTCCCCTGTCAAATAGCTTCCCTGGAAAGATCCCTTCCATAACATAACTGCATGGTTCCTATCTGACCCAGACAGGTGCATGGCTGTTTCATTAATCCCATTGACCATGTTATGAAGTTGTCTTTTTAAAAATTTGAACTGCATAGCTTGTTTATTCTTACAGCAATTTACAACATAATATCAGTTTACTTGTTGATTTGAACTTTGGGATCGCTGCTTCACACACTGAGAGGCAGTCTCCTGCCCATCTATTTAGGCATTAGAGGCACTTTTTCTTTTAATTCCGATTGCGATTCAGTGATATAGATTTGTGAAACCCACTGTATTCTGTCTGCTACAATAAAGGGACCCCTTGCATTCAGTTTAGATTTTGCTCATAATATAAAATAAATGGTCTATCAAACTATGACAAATATGTCAGCTTGGGAATGCTACAAAATGACCTAAATATTGGTTACTGATCCTGTGTCTAACCAAAGGATTATTGTTAATGCTAATCTGACTTTACTGACAGGAGACAGTGACTCTGGAAGTGATCAGCCTGGTCAGTCTGAGTGACTAGGACGCAGATCACATCCTATTGGCTGCCTTCATGCCTTGTTAAATTGAATAGTAATGTTGGTAATTATGATGGGCACCGGAGTAAAGATGTTGGGTAGCGTTTAATGTTTTACTACTGTAGTTGTAGAGGATATATCTTTTTTTGGTGGTATAGTTCCTCTTGTGCATTCCCAGTTTAAATGCTGTTTAGTCACAGGTTTCTTGCATGATATTTGAGTAGTAGAGCATAATGTAGTTTAGGAGAGAGAGCTCAGAAATTCCTATTTTGTCATACGCTTATATGGTACCTTGGCCTATTCATTGTTCGATGGTTGTGACGGCACGTTTTTGTTTTTAGAGTTCAAATAACATACTTGGCAAATCTGATATTAATAGGTCTATTCTCTAAAGGGTGAAGAGTTTGGAGAAGGCAGGAGAAGTGAACAATCTAGGACACACTTGCTGATTTGGAAAAATTCCCCCATTCAGTTTACCTTCCAGTTCAGCTATGTTGTCCTAGATTGTTCACTTCGCCTGCTTCTCCTTCTCATCATTGGGCCCTAGCTTAAGTCCAGCTCCAGCCAAATCACCAATACACTTTCTTGAGTGGTAGAACCTCTGTGAGGTATGTATGCTTTGTGTGTCAGTCTGTGCTAGGTACACCATTTTCCCTCATTCCTTGTACTGCCATGATTGGACGTGACTATATATGTTCCCAACAGATGCACAGGTAGTAATAAAACAACAATAGAGGTTTGCCTCTCTATCTACTGCCCAACCAAAATTTCTGGCTGGAGTTGGGCTTTAAGAGAGGAAGACTTTCCCCTTTTACCTGGCAGTAGATAAAACCTGTAAAATGACAGATTAAAAGAGTAGTTATTCAAGTACTAAATTAGTAATGACTCGCTGTTTTGGTTAAAAAAAATTTCCTCTACAATTTTTGGCATGTTGGAGTTTTTGAAAGCCTCTTACTGAGAAGTGTTTGTATGTGGATATTAGGTTTAGCTAGACCCTGCAGACAATAACCATTAGTCCTCCAGTGGTCACTCCTACATACAATTCCTTGCATCTCAAAAGTGCTGACAAGTGATTTTGAACCTTGGCATGGTTGTTTCTGTAGCCATTGCACAAATGTTTACGCCTTGTTTTTATTCCTTTTATAATGTTTCAGAAATAACTGTTTATTGTGTTTCCAAACTTTGTCAGGTTTGATTGTCCTGGGATTGTGGGTATCCTTCAATTGTAAACTTATGAATTTATGTTGCTAGAAAATTGATGATAATGAGTTACCGGGCAAGATATAGACGTTACAATGTGTCTCGTGTCTCTAGACAGTAAAAAGCCTAATGTCGGGGAGTAAAATGCTGATTGCAGCTAATGCCATGTACCCGTTTCCAGGCATGCTTTCAATTTGAGCAGCGTTTGTCCCATTCTCCCATGAGAGCTCTCGGCTGCCTCGGTTGTAGACAGAAGGGAAAGGATGTGAAGAAGAGGAAGACACAAGGGGGTTAAGGGGTGAAGAGAGGTGGTGTTGCTGTTTACACTATTATCCAGCCAAGCAAGAAAAAAATTATTTCCATTTACTAGCAGTGCAGCCACAGTTGTCATTCCCTCCACACATAATGAGAGTAGGAGGCCGCTCTGTATTCAGACGGTGTCACCAGAAACTGCTTTAAGCATGCAGGGAATGGATTTAGCAAATCTCCACAGCGGTGTCGGAAATCAGATCAGCAGTATGCCAGGGTGTGGGGGGAGGAGGGGTGGCTGACAAATGTTTCTATGTGCCAGGAGGAGGTGGCAATTTATAGTACAGCTACATATGTCAAGCAGATTTACAAGTTTGCAAGGTCCCTGTGTAGGTGTAAGTCAAATGGGAAGTGATTATGGCCGCTGGTTCCCCCATACTTACTTTAAACACACTGTTTACTTGGTCCATCAAATTGTTATTCATCTCCAAGGAGAAAGTCGTTAAATAAGGCCAATTCTTTAGCTGCCATCACTTTCCTCACTCACTGCAGGGGACAGTTATTATTTTTGAAGCAGATACAGGACTATATTTCCCGCTTGTACGTTCTTCTTGTGGAAGCTTTATAAACCTGAAACAAACAAACATTTTTAACTTAAATAAACTCTGTCAAGGATGGCAGAGTTTCAAATTGCTCAGTTAAAGTTCATTTATTAGAGAGATGCTGTTGGATAAACCATTTCTGTTTTAGAGCTATAAAGCAGAAATACTTACTTTCTAGTTGTTAAACATCATTTTCTTTCTTAAAGATTATATTTGTGGCTACAATTCCCTGGCTATTATAAGGGAGTTTCACTTTGAACCCGGGTATTCATTACATACAGTATACATTGTGAGGGCTTATCATCAAACAGTTGTGTATACACCAATGTCTGTCTACTCACCATTCTCTGTTTAAGGGTATTTTGGCCCACTTTTTTTTGCCAGCAACGGAAATCAAATAGAAGCCTCCCCATTAAGGCTAAGTCCACTATAACTACATATTTATAAAGATGACCGACTGGCCAGTTCTGCTGTCTTTCTGTACAGTATCAAATTGGAGAGTTCATATTAATAACCACACCTCTCTAAACAGGACTTTTGTGCTACCACATTGATTGGTGGCCAGTGAGCCCACTTTCACTCTTTGGCCTGGCCTCAAATCTTTAAATAAACAGGATCCATATTCCTGTTCCATGCTCATAACTTCTCAGAGGTCTTTTTAAAACAAAAACCGCCACAACCAAGGCAGTGCATTTCTCTCATTTTGGGCTTCATAATAGTTGTGCCAAGTGATGGAGCAATTTATTCCAGCAGGAGAATTTTATTTTAAAAAGCAGGTGGGCCACTCTTCTGGTGGACACCAGCAGACTTGACTCCTGGTTGTCTCTAATAAGCCTGAGGTCTTCAGCTGTGAGAGCTTTCTTGCAATGTTCTCATGTCTAATTACCAATAACTGTACAATGGCTGACTCTTGTTTTGCTGGAATTTGCATGTCTACCATGCACAAACAGAGCCAGGACCTTGGAGAAGCAGCTACTCTGATGTTAGATGATAGTGATTCATACAGCCACTCAGAGCCTTTGCCTTAACAGTG